CTCTTGAGCCCAGGAGTTTGAGACCAGCCTGGCTAACATGGTGAAACCCCGTCTCTACTAAAAATACAAAAATTAGCTGGGCGTGGTGGTGGGCACCGTAATCCCAGCTACTTAGGAGGCCTAGGCACAAGAATTGCTTGACCCCAGGAAGCGGAGGTTGCAGTCAGCCGAGATCATGCTGCTGCACTCTAGCCTGGGTAATAAAGCAAGACCCTTTCTCAACAAAAAATTAAGTAAGTAAATAAATAAAAATATTGTGTAATTACAAAAAATTTTTTAATGGAAAAAAATCTAGAAGACTGTGTTCCCGATTTCCCCACCCCAAGTAAGGATGGGGAGGGGGATGTACAAGGTACAAATTCCTTGTATTCTTTTTGTTTGTTTGCTTGTTTGTTTTTTGTTTTTTAGGTTTTGAGACAAGGTCTCTCTCTGTTGCCCAGGTTAGACTCCTGTGGCAATATCATAGCTCACTCCAACTTTGAAGTCCTGGGCTCAAGCAATCCTCTGTTGTCAGCCCAGCCTCCTAACTAGTTGAAAGTATAGGTGTGAGCCATTGCACCTGGCTAATTTTTTTTTTTTTTTTTGAAGAGATTGGGGTCTCACTCTGTTGCCCAGGCTGGTTTCAGTCTTTTGACCTCGAGTGATCCTCCCGCCTCAGCCTCCAAAAATTCTGGGATTACAGATGCACCTGATCTCCTCCAGCTCTTGACAGCCATTAATGTACTTTCTGTCTTGGTGAATTTGCTTATTCTGGGCGTTTCATATAAATAGACTCATGCAATCTGTAACCTTTTGTGACTGGCCTCTTTCACTTTGCATGATGTTCTCATGGCTCAGGTATGACATAGCATGTGTTAGGACTTCATTTCTTTCTTTCTTTTTTTTTTTTTTTGAGACAGAGTTTCACTCTTGTTGCCCAGGCTGGAGAGCAATGGTGCCATCTCAGCTCACTGCAACCTCCACCTCCCAGGTTCAAGTGATTCTCCTGCCTCAGTCTCCCTAGTAGCTGGGATTACAGGCAAATACCACAACACCCAGCTACTGTTTGTATTTTTAGTTGAGTTGGGGTTTCACCATGTTGGTCAAGGTTGGTTTTGAACTCCTGACCTCAGGTGATCCATCTGCCTCAGCCTTCTAAAGCGGTGGTATTACAGGCATGAGCCACCATGCCCGGCCAGGACTTCATTTCTTTCCCTTTTTCCTTCCCTTCCTTCCTTTTCTTCCTTTTCTTCCCTCCCTTCCCTCCCTCCCTCCCTCTCTCCCTCTCTCCCTCTCTCTCTCTCTCTTTCTTCTTTCTTTGGAGTTTTGTTCTTGTCACTCAGGCTGGAATGCAATGCCGCACTCACGACAACGTCCACCTCAGGTGATCCGCCCACCTCGGCCTCCCAAAGTGCTGGAATCACAGGCGTGAGCCACTGCACCTGGCCATTTCTTTCTTCTTTCTGTGGCTGAGTAATATTCTGTTTTGTGGCGAGGCCATATTTTGTTCATCCATTCTGAAGTTGGTGGACATATTTGGGTTATAGGTTTTGTTTTGCCAGTTACTTCTTTCCCTTAACAGAGTGGCTGGGAGATTTACATGTCATTGAATCTCATGATCCCTCAGTCCTTTGAATGGCTTTAGGTGATCTCTTTTTTTTTTTCTATTTTTGTATTTTTTTTCTTTTTTTTTAAAGACGGGGTTTCACCATGTTGGTCAGGTTTGTCTTGAACTCCCAACCTCAGGTGATCCACCCGCCTTGGCCTCCAAAGTGCTTGGATTACAGGCGTGAGCCATCACAGCTGGCTTTAGGCGATCTCATTTGTTCACATGTGATGCCTGACCCCTTGGTACCCGTGGAGACCCCTGGCTCTCCTCTCTGTCACTTCATTTCCTTCCTCCAGGGAGTCTGCAGTGCTTGGTAGGGCTCTGGTCACCTAATCCATGGTCCAATGTTATAAATGAGAAAATGGAATTTCAGGGAGAGGAAAGGGTTCACCCAGGGATCATAAACTCAGCTTTGCAGGATCTCCAGGGTTCAACTCCCAGTGAGGCCACAGCCCTTCCCACTCAGCTTGTAATAGGTGGGCCCGGATCCTTCCGTAGCCTGACGGGCTGAACTCAGAGCCCCCACCTTGTACTCTACATGGGGGGCTGCCTCTTTGTGCCCTGCCCAGGGCCCCACTGACTGAGCTTGCTGCTGCCTCCTGGCTCTTGTAGAAGGACTCGTCTGACCCACAGCCCTGTTTCCTCCTCTTCCATTCCAGCTTTTGAAAGCACTTCTCAAATACTGGCTCCTGGCTCTTGACACCCAGAGTCTGAAATATCAGCCTCTGCCTTCCTGCCTCATTTGCATTTCAAAAGGTCTCTTTAGGATTTGATTGTGCTCTAAGATATTCTGTACTTAAGGGTCCATCTGGAGCTCTCCTTGCCTGGCACGGTAGATCCGAACTGCTCTTCAGAATCACCTGAAAGCATTTAAAAAATACTGATGTCTCGGCCGGGTGCAGTGGTTCACACCTGTAATCCCAGCACTTTGGGAGGCCAAGGTGGGCGGATCACCTGAGGTCAGGAGTTCAAGACCAGCCTGACCAACATGGTAAAACTTTTTCTCTACTAAAAATACAAAAATTAGCTGGATGTGGTTGGCAGGCTCCTGTAGTCCCAGCTACTTGGGAGACTGAGGCAGGAGAATCGCTTGAACCTGGTAGGCAGAGGTTGCAGTGAGCCAAGATCGAGCCCTTGCCCTCCAGTCTCAACAGCAACAACAACAACAAAAGAAAAGAAAAGAAAACAAAAAAAATACTGATGTCTCAGGCCTACCCGAGACCACCAGTATTTTTTATAAGTAATTCTGATGTGTACCAGGTTGAGAACTACTGTGCTAGCTCCACTCTGGTCCTCATCACAGAAGGCACATTTTCTCCTGCCAATTCTTTGGGATTCAATTAAAAGCTATGTCAATAACTGGTCCCAGGTCAGCTGTGGGTGTGCTGTGGGACCTTGGACAAGTCCCTGTCCCTGTCTCTTGGCTTCAGAAAAATGGGACTTGGATTAGATCAGTGGCTGCCACTTTCAGGGATGGGGTGTGCGAGGTGGGGGATGGGAGTAAGCATGTGTCCAAATCACCTGGGCGCCATTTTCAAAAATACACCAGCCCACCTTGAAAAGTCAAAACAGCCTAAGCATGGTATTATACATACACCACCAACACAAATCACCCCTCCTCTCTTGGGAGGAAGCGCTCAATAGAATCGTGCATCTAGTTGAATGACTTCTTTAAACATTGAGAAACTTCAGTAATTGTTATTGTAACATTTCCTTCAATTCCCTCTGTAGGACTTGTGCCATTTGGCATTCTTGCCAGCAATTTATGAACCTTTTTGTTTCTGCATAGCTTCACCAGAAGAATATGTCGTCAGATATTTGGATTTTTGCCAATCTGATAGGTGAAAAATGGTATCTCAGTGTAATTTTAATTTGCATTTATCTAATAGGAGTGGGGTTGAATATCTTCATGTGCCATGATCCATTTGCCTTTCTCTTCCTGTGAAGTGTTTTTCATATCTCCAGCCTGTTTTCCTACAGGTCTGCTGGCCTTTTAATGCTCTCTTTGTGAAGCTGTTTCCATATTTAGGATATCAACCCTTTGTCTGTGTTAATACATTGTAGATATTTTTTCAGTTTGTCATTTATGTTTTTACTTGTGTTAGGGTGCTTTTATTTCCATGCAGAATTTGCCCGTGTAATCAAATGTATCTATTTTTTTCCATATTGCTTTTGGATTTTAAACATCTTATTTTATTTATTTAATTTTTTTTTTGAGGCATCTTGCTACATTGCCGAGGCTAGTCTCAAACTCTTCAATGCAAGCAGTCCTCCCACTGCAACCTCCCAAAGTATTGGGATTGCAAGCATGAGCCACTGTGCCTGGCCAGCTTCTGGATTTTTGAATCACTGTTTGCCATCAGTCTCTCATGACCATTCAAGTCGTAATTACACATTTCTCCTGTGTAATTACCATTTGTTGTACTCATATTCATTTTATTGTTGTTCTTTGTTTTGTTTTTTTTTTTTGGAGACACGGTCTTGCTATGTTGGCCAGGCTGGTCTCGAACTGTTGGCCTCAAGTAAGTAATCCTCCTGTCTTGACCTTCCAAAGTATTGGGATTACGGACAGGAGCTACCACACCCTGCCCCCATTTTTATTTTATTCATTATTATTTATTCTGAATTAAAGTTTGCACTAGATGTCAGTTTCAGGAGGACAGATTTTCTCTGAGATGGAGCTTTGCATACAGAGGTTTGTGGAAGAGTCTCCTTGGGAACACCACCGCAGGGAGTTAGGCAGAGCTGGAAGCTGAATTGTGCCAGTGATCCCAGTCAGTCCCCATGGGGGACTGGAGCAAGGATGGCCCTCCCTGTAAGGCCGAGGCAAGGGGTCAATGATCCATGCACAGATGTGGGCTCCATCCATGGATGGCACCTGCCCTTGGACAAGGTGGTTCCCCTCAACCGATGGCTGTCACTGGAAGGGGTACTCAGCTTTGAGGGCTCAGCTTGGGGGATGAGTGTCTCAGTTCCAAAGGGGAATTTGTAAAAGCACCACCGCATCGTCTGTGGTTCACTGCTGTGTTCTCTACACCTACCTATTGGTACATACATGATAGGTACTTAGGAAATCCTTTGATGAAAGACAAACGAGAACAGAAACACAGCTTTCCAAGATTTGGCTGAGGCCAACCAGGTCACACATGGGAGTGGGGTAGAGGGGAGGGTGTGGGGTAGAGGGTGCAAACACCCTGGGCAGGTGTTTGCAGAATCATCTTCTCCAGTGCTTCTGACCTGTCTTCCACTGCTGGGTGATCTGAAGGGCTCCTCTTGCTCAGCACTCAGGGTGGGGTGGCCCGAGGAGTGGTCCCTCCCTGGATCCTGGGCACCATGACAGCTCTCTGCATGTGATCACCCTGTGAGCTTTTAGTCTTGACTTTTTTTTTTTTTTTTTTTAATCTCCCTTCAGCATTCTTTGAAGAAAAGAGGAACCCGCTCCCTGGGGAAAGCAGATAAGAAGCCTTTGGTTCAGGTAATTCCCAGCAGCCCCTGTAGGAAGGTTTTATTCTGAATGCCTGAGCCTGCCTCCAAGTGGCCTGGGGATCCCAGATTCTTCCCTGTCCTCCCCTTGCTCATTTTCTTTTCTTTCTTTTTTTTTATTTTTTGTTTTGTTTTGTTTTCTTTGAGATGAAGTCTCACTTTCTTCCCCAGGCTGGAGTGCAGTGGCATAATCTCAGCTCACTGTAACCTCTACCTCTCAGGTTCAAGTGATTTTCATGCCTCAGCCTGCCAAGTATCTGGGACTACAGGCGCACACCATCACACCTGACTAATTTTTATATTTTTAGTAGAGACAGGGTTTCACCATGTTGGCCAGGCTGGTCTCGAACTCCTGGCCTCAAGCAATCCACCTGCCTCAGCCTCCCAAAGTGCTGGGATTACAGGTGTGAGCAACCACACCCAGCCCTCTTGCTCATTTTCTTAATTTCACTGCCCAAAACCACACCCTGAAGCCATGGTTCTTAGATGCTTAGATGCTCACTCCCCACCCCAGCCAGGAGCTTAGCAAGCAGCACTACAGTCAGATCCGAAGGTCTAGAGTTAGAGATCCAGGTTTGAATCTTGGCTCTGCCACTTGACTGCCATGTGATTGGGGTGAGTCTCTTTGAGTTTCGGGGCTCCATTCCCTACTTATCCCTGTCTTGGGGGTTCATTGGAAGAATCAGATAAAGTACTCTATGTAGCACAGGCCACATACTGTTAGCTCCTAGGAGTATGGGATTGTCAGAGTGCCAGGTCCTTTTCATCCTTCACTCATTTAATCCTCTGGGAGGATTAGCTCATTTAATCCTCTGTGGCTCTGGGAGGGAAGTAATGTTACCGCCCCATTTTACTGATGAAACTGTAGTGGTAATGGCAGTAGTGGCAGTAGTTGCTCATCAGTATGTCACCTGCTCCTGAACTCCCAGGCTGTGTGTGGTGCTCCATCATTTCAATGTCTGCCCCTCTGCGTCTCTTCCGGACCCTTAGTTCCTTGAGGGTCTGGCTGTGTCTGATTGATCCCTGTGTTCCTAGCACATAGTTAGTGCCCCCCCAGAATGGTATGGCTGGTACTGAGCCTCCCAGCACTAACCTTCCTGGGTTGTGACTGCCCCCGTGTCCCCAGGAGGACAGCGCGGACCTGAAGTGCCAGCTGCACTTTGCAAAGGAGGAGTCGGCCCTCATGTGCAAGAAGCTCACTAAGCTGGCCAAGGAGAATGACAGCATGAAGGAGGAGCTGCTGAAGTACCGCTCGCTCTACGGGGATCTGGACAGTGCGCTGTCAGCTGAGGAGCTGGCCGATGCCCCCCACTCGCGGGAGACCGAGCTGAAGGTGCACCTGAAGCTGGTGGAGGAGGAGGCCAACCTGCTGAGCCGCCGCATCGTGGAGCTGGAGGTGGAGAACCGAGGCCTGCGGGCTGAGATGGACGACATGAAGGATCACGGAGGTGGCTGTGGGGGGCCCGAGGCACGCCTGGCCTTCTCTGCACTGGGTAGTGGCGAGTGTGGGGAGAGCTTGGCGGAGCTGCGGCGACACCTGCAGTTCGTGGAAGAGGAGGCTGAGCTGCTGCGGCGCTCCTCCGCCGAGCTCGAGGACCAGAACAAGCTGCTGCTGAATGAGCTGGCCAAGTTCCGCTCGGAGCACGAGCTGGACGTGGCACTCTCGGAGGACAGCTGCTCCGTGCTCAGCGAACCCTCGCAGGAGGAGCTGGCGGCCGCCAAGTTGCAGATCGGTGAGCTCAGTGGCAAGGTCAAGAAGCTGCAGTACGAGAACCGTGTGCTCCTGTCCAACCTCCAGCGCTGCGACCTCGCCTCCTGCCAGAGTACACGGCCCATGCTGGAGACAGACGCCGAGGCCGGAGACTCTGCCCAGTGTGTGCCTGCTCCCCTGGGTGAGACACACGAGTCCCATGTGGCCCGACTCTGCAGAGCCAGGGAGGCTGAAGCGCTGCCTGGGCTGAGGGAGCAGGCCGCCCTGGTCAGTAAGGCCATCGATGTCCTGGTGGCTGATGCCAACGGCTTCTCAGCTGGCCTCCGGCTGTGTCTGGACAATGAATGTGCTGACTTGCGGCTGCACGAAGCCCCCGACAACAGCGAGGGCCCCAGGGACACCAAGCTCATCCATGTCATCCTGGTGCGCCTGAGTGTGCTGCAGCAAGAGCTGAACGCCTTCACGCGGAAGGCGGATCTAGTCCTCGGGGGCTCTGTCAAGGAGCAGCAGGAGTCCTTCTCATCACTGCCCTCCTTGGGCTCCCAGGGGCTCTCCAAGGAGATTCTTCTGGCAAAAGACCTTGGCCCAGACTTTCAGGTAAGGTGCCTCATGCACAGATCCTATTATTTATTTTTTGTTTGCTTTTGTTTTTCTTAAGACAGGGTCTCTCCCTGCTGCCCAGGCTAAAGTGCAGTGGTGCAATCTCAGCTCATTGCAGCCTTGACATCCTGGGCTCAAGCCATTCTCCTTCCTCACCCTCTTGAGTACCTGGGACCACAAGTGAGCACCACCACACCTAGCTAATTTTTATTTTTTATTCTTATTCATTTATTTTTTTGAGATGGAGTTTCACTCTTGTTGCCCAGGCTGGAGTGCAATGGCATGACCTTGGCTCACTGTAGCCTCCACCTCCTGGGTTCAAGCGATTCTCCTGCCTCAGCCTACTGAGTAGCTGGGATTACAGGTATGTCCCACCACGCCTGGCTAATTTTCTATTTTTTAGTAGAGACGGGGTTTCACCATTGGCCAGGCTGGTCTTGAACTCCCGACCTCAGGTGATCTACCCGCCTCTGCCTCCCAAAGTGCTGGGATTATAGACGTGAGCCACTGCACCTAGCTTTTTTTGGAGACAGAGTCTCGCTCTGTCACCCAGGCTGGAGTGTGCAGTGGTGCAATCTTGGCTTACTGCCATCTCTGCCTCCCGGGTTCAAGCAGTCCTCCTGCCTCAGCTTCTCAAGTAACCAGAATTACAGGCCCCTTCCACCACGCCTAGCCAACTTTTGGTATTTTTAGTAGAGATGGTGTTTCACCATGTTGGCCAGGCTGGTCTCGAACTCCTGACCTCAAATGATCCAACCACCTTTGCCTCCCAAATTCTGGGATTACAGGCGTGAGCCAGCGTACCTGGCCATAATTTTTAAATTTTTTTGTAGAGATGGGATCTTGCCATGTTGCCTAGGCTGGTCTTGAACTCCTGAGCTCAAGTGATCCCCCGGCCTCAGCCTCCCAAAGTGTTAGGACTATAGGTGTGAGCCTCTGTGCCCGACCTAATAGTCACATTTTAAATGTTCAGTATTTGTGTGTGTCTAATGGAGTGGGTCTAGAAGATTTCATTCTTGCAGCTTGCCCTTCTAAATCCTTCTCTACATATACTATCATATATTTGTTTTTCCACACAGATTGTTTTATATCTACTGTTACTATATAACTTATTTTTAATGCAGTGTATCAGTTTGTTCATTATGATGCCTTGTTTGTTGTTCACACACTTTTTGTGCTCACTGCTGAAGGTGTCATGACAAGCAAAAACAGATATGACTCCCCCCTCACGGCCCTTATTATCTAGTGGGGCAGAGTCACCCAAAATATCATGCCAGTGAATGTGCAGTTATAAACTGAGAGAGGACTCTAAAGGAAAAGTACATGGTTTTACGAACAAGGAGCTTGACCTAGACCCTATGCTGAGGGAAGGCCTCTGATCTGACCAGAGGTCAGAGGGATGGCTGGCTGGGGGAACAGTGTTTTCCGCAGAGGAAAGAGCCTGTGCAAAGGCACAGCTCAGATCAGAGGCGAAAGGAGCGTGGTGTGTCCAGGGCACTGAGTGAAGAGACACCGTGAAGCTGCCCTGCACTGAGCATGGGGAGGTTTGATCTTCATCCTCAGAGCAATGGCAGGGAGTTTTTCATTTCCAGGGAAAGAGAGAGATTTAGCACTTTGTTTTTAACAACTCTACAGTGGATATTTGCCGTAATATCTTTAACTCATGCCCTGTTGATCTGGCTTCATCTTGCTTTTTAGGCAAGCAGACTGCCTTTTTAAAAAATATATATTATTTTTTTTGAGACAGAGTCTCACTCTGTCATTATGCTGGAGTACAGTGGCATGCTCTCAACTCACTGCAACCCCTGCCTCCTGGGTTCAAGCGATTCTCCTGCCTCAACCTCCCAAGTAGCTGGGACTACGTACGCACACCACCACACCCAGCTAATTTTGTATTTTTAATAGAGACGGGGTTTCACCATGTTGGCCAAGATGGTCTGATCTCTTGACCTTGTGATCCACCTGCCTCGGCCTCCCAAAACGCTAGGATTACAGGCATGAGCCACTGTGCTCGGCCTTTAAAACAATTTTTTTTTCTTTTTGTTTGTTTGTTTTGCTGCTCTCCTTGAGGATAAATTTTTTTTTTAAAGAAACAGTCTTGCTCTGTTGTCCAGGCTGGAGTGCAATGGCATGATCATAGCTCGCAGCAGCCTCAAATTATAGATGGAATTACAGGCATGCAGGCACGTGCCACTGTGCCCATAGACTGCTCTGTGTTATCTCTCTCTTGGTTCTTCTTGAAAGAGGAATGAACAGAGGTCACACATGTGATAGGACAGTTGGGGCTGACTCAGAAGGTTTGTGCACAAGACACACATTCACAAAATCACTCCCCACTTACCTACTAATTCATCCTTTCAACATTCACTCATTGAATGACAGCAGTGCCCCCAGCCACAGCTGGGTCTGAGCTGCAGAGGTGAATCTGCCAGGGTCTCAGCCCTCAGGTGGGTGGTTCAAGCCTCTCATGGAGCCCAGAGGCCTGGAGTGGGTGTTTCTGGCATCCCTTGGGCCCCTCCCCATGGTGATCTTTGGTTTGTTCTGCCTGTCCCTCTAGATGCAGCCGCCTGACTTCAGGGACCTGCCGGAATGGGAGCCCAGGATCCGAGAGGCCTTCCGCACTGGTGACTTGGACTCTAAGCCTGACCCCAGCCGGAGCTTCAGGCCTTTCCGAGCTGAAGACAATGATTCCTATGCCTCTGAGGTGGGTCTAGACCTGAGCAAGCCGGGGATTGGGTAGGAGGAGAGTTACTGAGGCCTCTCAAAAGCGGAGTGATCTATATATCACTTAGCTGGTGAGGATATGAGTTTTAGCCATTCCATTTGGTTCCAAGCTTCCTGGCAGTCAGGGCAAGACAGGAAATAAGGAAATTTGGGACATTCTCATGGCCTCATCCAAAAACTTATAAACTCATCTGCATAAATTGCTTTTTTCCCCCCTGTATTAAATTCCACTGAGAATTTGACAATTTATGTTACTTAATGGAACTACTCATTTATGTAGCAGGAAGGCAGCAGTCTCTATAGGTGGGCAGTTTGGGTTTCAATTGTGGATCCACTCTATACTGGCTGTGAGATCTTGGAGAAGTCATTTTACCTCTCTGATTCTCAGTTTTCTCACCTGTAACGTGAAGGTGCCTTCATTTTACAGGTGTTGAAAGGATTAAATACACAAAAAGCCATAGCTTAAGGCCTGGTCCACATTGAGTGAGGAAGAGGTTGAGGAGGAGGATGATTATTATTATGATAATTACACATTTCTGGGACTCAGGGGACCTGAGTTCAAGTCTCAGTTCTACCAGTGTTGCTGTGTGACCTTCAACAGCTTTCCACCTTCTGGCCACAGCTTCCCCATCTGTAACATGGGAGGGTTAGAGTGAATGGTAGCTATTGAATTGCTAGGATTCTTTGATCCTTGGGGAATTCTGGGTAGTTCTGATCCCTTCTAAGCCTATTGAGCTTCTCCTTGTTTTTTATAATGAGCCTGAAGCAGGAAAAGCTTCCTACAGAGTGGGTGGGGTATCCCTGAAACCCTGAACCATGCAGAGTCCTGTGTATTCTCCAGCCTGAGCACATTTCTGAGCATCCCTTTGAAGATAACTCAGTGGTCCCAGGAAGGCCAGCCCATGACTATGTAGGAAGGAGAAGCTCACTTGAAGCTAATGGATCAGACTCTCTAAGTGAGCTTCCTAGAAGCCATGCCAAAAACAGAAAAAACTGAGATAACTTAGTTCTCGTTTTCTAAGAAAAGGAAATAGGCCTATTCTTTTTTTTTTTTTTTTTTTTTAAGATCGTGTCTTGCTGTGTTGCCCAGTCTGGAGTGCAGTGTGCAGTGGTGCAATCTTGGCTCACTGTAACCTCCACCTCCTAAGTTCAAGCGAATCTCATGCCTTAGCCCTCCTGATTAGGTGGGACTATAGGCGTACGCCACCATGCCCAGCTAATTTTTGTTCTTTTAGTAGAGACCAGGTTTTGCCATGTTGCCCAGGCTCTGGTCTTAAACTCCTAGGCTCAAGTGATCCTCCCACCTCAGCCTCCCAAAGAGCTGGGATGAGAGGCATGAGCCACCACACCCAGCCAGGAAATAGGCCTATTCTATAGGCTTACCTGTAGAGAAAATAATTTCCTATACACATTCAATTATTTGTTTCATGCAGCCACTCTGTTGAGCAGTGACAATTGCCCAACACTGTTGAACACTGAGTTCAAAGAGGATACCAGAGGCAGCACAGTGTGTAGCTGTGCAAAAATGTTTAGTTTAAAGCAGATATAGAAGATAGACCTCAGGTCACTATGCCTTCCACTGCCAAATCATCATAGTATTGCCCATATAATGAATGTTTACTTTCACAGAGGGACATTTGCCGTACCTACGAAGCTTTCATGTAGGAGTTCTGCGGCCAGTCGTGGTGACTCAATCCTGTAATTTCAGCACTTTGAGAGGCCAAGGTGGGCAGATTGCTTGAGCCTAGGAGTTTGAGACGAGCCTGGGAAACATGGCAAAACCCCATCTCTACAAAGAGTACATAAAATTTAGCCAGGTGTGATGGTACACACCTGTAGTCCCAGCTACTCGGGAGGCTGAGGTGGGAAGATTGCTTGAGCCTGGGAGGTCGAGGCTACAGTGAGCCATCATCGCTCCAGCCTGGGTGACAGAATGAGATCCTGTCTCAGAAAAAGAAAAAAAAAAAAACAATTTGGGACTGACATTCCCTTCTTTTTTTCCCTTGCTTAATGTGACAGCATACGCATTTCTCTGTTACTAGAAGTACTTTTAAAAATTTTGGCCGGGCGCATTGGCTTACACCTGTAATCCTAGCACTTTGGGAGACTGAGACAGGCGGATCACCTGAGGTCAGGAGTTTGAGATAAGCCTCGACAACATGGTGAAACCCCATCTCTACTGAAATTACAAAAATTACCCATGCATGGTAGTACATACCTATAGTCCCAGCTACTTGGGAGGCTGAGACAGGAGAATCACTTGAACCTGAGGCAGAGGTTGCAGTGAGCTGAGATTACACCACTGTACTCCAGCCTGGGTGACAGAGCAGGACTCCATCTCAAAAAAAAAAACCCAAAATTATTGAGGTATAATACACGTAAAGTGCTCATCTTGTAAGTTGGCGGCTCAGTTGCTTCTTACGAACTAAATGCTACTATGTCATCAACACTCAGATTGATAACACAGCATGACCTGCCCCCAGAATTCCCTATACTCTCTTCTAGTAACCATCCGACTTCTAACAGAATAGATCGGTTTTGCCTGCTTAGCTACAAATATTTTTAAACTCAATTTCCCCCAAAACTATAGTTTTATTACGTTTTTAAAAAGATCCTATAGTTTTTGTAAATAATAAATAACTATAACAAAACCCCTAAGCAGCATTGCATAAAGATATAAAGAAGGAAGTCGGCTGGGCGCGGTGGCTCATGCCTATAATCCCAGCACTTTGGGAGGCCAAGGCGGGTGGATCACGAGGTCAAGAGATCGAGACCATCCCGGTCAACATAGTGAAACCCCATCTCTACTAAAAATACAAAAATTAGCTGGGCACGGTGGTGCGCGCCTGTAGTCCCAGCTACTCGGGAGGCTGAGGCAGGAGAGTTGCGTGAACCCAGGAGGCGGAGGTTGCGGTGAGCCGAGATCGTGCCATTGCACTCCAGCCTGGGTAATAACAGCGAGACTCCGTCTCAAAAAAAAAAAAAAAAAAAAAAAAGAAGGAAGTCAAGATTGAAGGTCTGAACATCTTTACATAGTTCCCACTGTTTACATTTAGTGTGTGTGTCCATGTTCTTTACATATTTTTCTATGGAGGTCTAGCTTTTTTGGTTTTGTTTTTTAACTTTCTGTTGAAATATAACATAATAACATACATACAATAAAGGACATTGTCCTTAAGGGTACCACTGAATGGATTGTTACATATGTATAGATCTATTAAACATCTTTTACTTCCCATCATTTAGTATCTAAGTTGTTTCCTAAATGTTGCAATTATAAACAATGAAACAATGAACATCTTTGTGAATCAAACTTAGTAACTCAGTTTTCCCAGTACATTATTAAGATAAATTTCAGAGAAAAGATCAACTTCTATTGGTAACAAAACCCTCTGAGGTGGGGACAGTCATTGTGCCTGATTTGTACTTAGACAGCTTGGGTCCAACTTCCCATTGTTTCCCTACCACTGCCATCCTCAGATCACAATTTCTATCCACTTCTTCCTCTCTCTTCCTCCTCATTATCTTTGTCCCTGTCTGCACCGCAGATCAAGGAGCTGCAGCTGGTGCTGGCTGAGGCCCATGACAGCCTCCGGGGTTTGCAAGAGCAGCTCTCCCAGGAGCGGCAGCTACGAAAGGAGGAGGCCGACAATTTCAACCAGAAAATGGTCCAGGTGCGTGGTGCCCGCGCTTTCCAGGCACCTATCCCTGCAGCCTCTCTGAGCTGGAGGCAGAGGCCTTGAGCATCTGTGGGCCCTCCAAAATCAAGAATGTCAGGGGAGGCTGGGCACAGTGGCTCACACCTGTAATCCCAACACTTTGGGAGGCCAAGGCAGGTGGATCACTTGAGGCCAGGAGTTTGAAACCAGCATAGCCAACATGGTGAAAACCTATCTCTACTAAAAATACAAAAATTGGCCAGGCGCGGTGGCTCAAGCCTGTAATCCCAGCACTTTGGGAGGCTGAGGCGGGTGGATCACGAGGTCAAGAGATTGAGACCATTCTGGTCAAAATGATGAAACCCCGTCTCTACTAAAAATACAAAAAATTAGCTGGGCACGGTGGCGCGTCTCTGGAAACCTAGCTACTCAGCCTCCCGAGTTGCCTGAACCCAGGAGGTGGAGGTTGCGGTGAGCCGAGATTGCGCCATTGCACTCCAGCCTGGGTGAAAAGAGCGAAACTCCGTCTCAAAAACAAAACAAAACAAAACAAAAAACACAAAAATTAACCAGGTATGATGGTGCATGCCTGTAATCCCAGCTACTCGGGAGGCTGAGGCAAGAAAATTGATTGAACCTGGGAGGCAGTGGTTGCAGTGAGCCAAGATCACACCACTGCACTCCAACCTGGGCAAGAGAGTGATCTCAAAACAAACAAACAAAAAAAGAATGTCAGGGGAAAGCCGAGTTCAGCCCCTGTGCCCTGCTGGGATGTTACAGTACTTGCAGTTGGACATTAGCTGTGTGACAGGGCTGTCACTGGCTGCGCGTGGGACCTGGGGCCAGTCCTGTTTTCTCCCAGGACCTCAGTCTCCCATTTATGAAATGGTGCCCTCATCAGGCCTGGCTCCTAATACAGATAATAGTACTGAAATAACATTTGTTAAGCCCTTACTGTGTGCTGGCCCCGTACAATGCACTTTCCACCCATTATGTCCTTGAATCCTCGTGCCCTCCCTTAACACCATTTTACGGAGTACTCTGCCCGGGGTTGCACATCTAGACCTCAGCGGGGCTTGGTCTCTAATCTAGGTCCCTCTGTTAGCCGTGACACTGCATTGCTTCCTAGGGTGGTGCATAGTCATCAGCCGTTCTCAACCCTGGCACACCTTCTGCTCTCTATGTGTCACCCATCCCTGCTGTCAAGGTTCACCCTCACCAGTTCCTCATTGAACATGAAAGTTCATGTGAGACATTTGGCGCCCAGGAGGTACTCAGTATATGATGTCATGGTTTTTTTAGTCAGAGCCAGGGTCAAATCCCAGCTCCTTCACTGATGTGTCACCGTGGCTCTGGTAGCAAAGGGCAGTGCTCATCTGAATAGATTGCACCACACGTGGTGGGATCCCTGGCAGGAATCACCCACAGGCACTACCCAGACTCTCCTCCCTGCCCCTGTTCAGTGGCCTGGAAATGGGGTGGGGGAGAGGGCAGGGTCCTAGGGTTGCTCAAGCTCTTGTCCCCCGCAGCTGAAGGAGGACCAGCAGAGGGCGCTCCTGAGGCGGGAGTTTGAGCTGCAGAGTCTGAGCCTCCAGCGGAGGCTGGAGCAGAAATTCTGGAGCCAGGAGAAGAACATGTTGGTGCAGGAGTCCCAGCAGTTCAAGCACAACTTCCTGCTGCTCTTCATGAAGCTCAGGTGGTTCCTCAAGCGCTGGCGGCAGGGCAAGGTTTTGCCCAGTGAGGGGGATGACTTCCTCGAGGTAAGATTGGGCCTGGGACTGGGACGTGTGGGCTGTGGAAAGAGGGACAAGGAAGGGACACCCAGCTGGTATTGACACAGCTCCTAGGCTCACATACCTGCCATCAGCTTGCAGGCTTCCTTCCCTGCATTTGTTGGCCTTTACTGGGCATTAGAGGGTGCTCGCTGGGGATACCATGAGGAAGATGACAAGCTTGGTCCTGGCCCCAACAGGAGAGAGGATCCTCGGGGTTGGCAGGTCTTTAACGCAGTCCTCGGCGGCCATGGTATCAAGGTGAATGTCGTAATCTGGTTTTGTCATAGTAGTATCAGGTACAAATATACATTTATATTTAGTGCCCTGGAGGCTCCCATGTGCCCTTTCCTAGAATTTTTTTTTTTTTGAGACAGAATTCTCACTCTGTTGCCCAGGCTGGAGTGCAGTGGCACTATCTCAGCTCACTGAAACCTCTGCCTCCAGGATTCAAGCAATTCTCTTGCCTCAGCCTGCTGAGTAGTTGGGATTACAGGCACATGCCGCCATGCCCAGCTAATTTTTGTATTTTTAGTAGAGACGGTTTCTCCACGTTGGCCAGGCTGGTCTTGAATTCCTGACTTCAAGTGATCTGCCTGCCTCGGCCTTCCAAAGTGCTGGGATTACAGGCATGAGCCACCACGCCAAGCTGAAAGATATGTTTATTTAACTAAAGGCAGTGGGCTGGCTTAAAAACACTGGTGATAGTACAGTAGTCTTAGGATGTGGCAGGAAACGTGTGGGGTGGAGCTTTGAGAATGTATGAAGCTTAGAAGGGACCCACCTGGCCCATTCATGCCCCAGTCTGTGCAGGACCCTTTGCTGCTCAGAGCCCCTGCCTCCTGTCATCAGCATAGCAGCAGCGTGGAGAAGGGGACTTGTAAGGATGTCAGACCTTGGTCCCACTCATCTTAGTTGACATTGCTCACTTTGGCCTTGTCCTTCTGGGTTCAGGTGCCTCAAGTCTAGCCCAGGCTTGGCCCTCCTCTGGTCCAAGCTACTCTCCAAGCAGGCCCCTTTCCAGAGGCAGTAGGGACCACTGGCATGCCTCAAGTTGCCACATACGCCATCAAGGGTACCCCAGAGGAGCCCAGATGCCCCAGGGACCAGGCATGACAGACCTGAGTGTGCAGTGAGACCCTGCATCACCCCATCTCAGTGGGGCTCATTCTCGCAGGCCACCAGCTCCTCCCCAGGGCCTCATGGGAGAGTCTCTATCACCATTCCATGGGCCCACGCCCTGCTTCCCTGGCCCTGCAGTGCCTGACACAGAGGCACCCATGGGAGAGGAAGCTCAAGGGCCCAGCAGGGCTGTCCCTGGGAGCATCTGCCTTGGGCCTCCTGTCTGAAGGTGTCTCTTCTGTGATGTTTGGGAACAGGAGCCCTCCCAGATGTTTGGAAGCCTCACAGGCCTCTGGATGAAGCTCAGCTTAAGCGAGTGACCTGCAGGCCACACAGTCTATGTTTTAAGTCAGTTTGTCTCAGACAAACCCTCCACATTTGATGAAAACCTTTCTAGCCATTTCCATATCCTAGAGTAAAAGAGAGAAACTTACTTTAGGAAAAAAGAAAATAGGGTGTAAACATAGGAAATGGGCCAGGTGCGGTGGCTTACACCTGTAATCTCAGCACTTTGGGAGGCTAAGGTGGGCAGATCTCTTGAGGTAAGGAGTTTGAGACCAGCCTGGCCAACATGGTGAAACGCTGTCTCTACTAAAAATACAAAAATTAGCTGACAGTGGTGGTGTGCACCAGTAGTCCCAACTACTTGGGAGCCTGAGGCAGGAGAATCACTTGAACCTGGGAGGCAGAGGTTGCAGTGAGCCAAGATCATGCCTTTGTACTCCAGCCTGGTGACACAGTAAGACTCTATCTTAAAAAAAAAAAAAAAAAAAGACACAAAAATTACATAACATATATGCCTATAGTTAAGAAATATATACATTTACCAAAATAGGCATGGTTAATAAGATATCAGTGTAATCATGCTGGGCACAGTAGCTTGCACCTAGAATCCCAGCGTCTGGGGAGGCTAAGGCAGGAGGATTGCTTGAGCACAGAAGGTGACTCGCTTCCTTTTGCTACATTTCCATCCTGCACTAGGTCCCTGATCTCCTTGGCTGGCCCTGGGCTCCTGCCCAGAATCCATCAGCAATAAATCCAACCCCCACCCAGCAAGGTCCCTTCTGTCCACGCAAACCTTTGGTCGCCCTTATGTAGCATCATGGGAGTGCTTGTGGCCTTTTCATTTCACCCACAGTGCCTGCCTTGGCCCAGCCTGTCAACTTGGTTCTTTCAGAGTGATTGTCAGGGCTGCTTCCTGGTCTTTGGGGCAGAGTAGATGTCATGGGAGGCTAGGAGGACCTGACTGTCCGGCCATGCTCCTTGACCTACATGGTACCCAAGGTTGAAATTAAAACTTGGGAAAACTTCCCACCCACTGTTAAGCATGTTTTTTTTTTTTTTTTGAGACAGAGTTTTGCTCTTGTTACCCAGGCTGGAGTGCAATGGCGCGATCTCGGCTCACCGCAACCTCCACCTCCCAGGCTCAGGCAAATCTTCTGCCTCAGCCTCCCGAGTAGCTGGGACTACAGGCACACGCCACCATGCCCAGCCAATTTTTTGCATTTTTAGTAGAGACGGGTTTTCACCATGTTGACCAGGATGGTCTTGATATCTTGACCTCGTGATCCACCCGCCGCAGCCTCCCAAAGTGCTGGGATTACAGGCTTGAGCCACTGCGCCTGGCCTAAGCATGGTTTTTAACAAACAGGTGAACAGCATGAAGGAGCTGTACCTGCTGATGGAGGAAGAGGAGATAAACGCTCAGCATTCTGATAACAAGGCCTGCACAGGGGACAGCTGGACCCAGAACACGGTGTGTCCCCAGCCCCTTCCCTGTCCTGTTGTGTCCATTCATTCCTTTGGTCTGCTCAGTGATCAATTCCTGCTTTCTCTGACTCCATTCCTGGACACTGGAGCTGCAGAGGGTTATTGCCTGGTCTTCCCGGGACAGTGACAGAGTCCAGATGATGGACTGTGGGATCATAAGCAAGACAGCAATTAATTCTCTTTGGAGTATAAGGGACAGTATCACAGAGAAGGGGTCATGGTTGGTGGATTTTGAAGGTTGTATAGTTTACCTAATGGAGAATGGGGGAAAGACTATTCTTGACCAAGAGAACTATGTATGCTAGAGTTGTGGCAAGGTATTCCAGTATTGAATATGGCTTGGTATTGAGTAGGGTGAGGGCAAGGACATCAGGCTAGGGTCATCTGAAGAGGGGCCTCGTTGTCTAGGGTCAGGAACCCTCAAATCAAGCCATAAGTCAGAGAGAGCAGTGGGGTCAGGATCACAGGGTCACACATGGTGAGCTGGGGTAGGGATGGGATAGGGGGAGAGAAGATTTGGGATGGAGTCAGGCAAACTGAGGGTCTCATGCATTAGACCCCACATCTGGCCTGCAGTGGATCAGAGAGGCAGATCCTGAGTGAGGAGAAAGACCCAAAGCTCAGACCCGCCGAGCCTTGAAGAAGCAGCCAGATGATTCAGCTCAGAGTTAGGCTGAGTAATGATTACTGTAACTGCAGGATTTTGTTAGTGTCAGATTTGGGACTCATGTCAGCCTAGGAGGTAGCAGGGCTGGGCTTGTCCTTCCCATTTTATGGGTGAGATGACCTAGAGAGGTCGTGGGACTTGCCCAAGGCCTTGTAGAGTCAGAGCTGGACTTCTAGGTGAGTTTTCTGAGCCCAGGCTCCCCCCCTACCCCCCGGAGGCTCCTGACTCAGGCTTTGCCTGCAGCCCAATGAGTACGTCAAGACACTGGCCGACATGAAGGTGACGCTGAAGGAGCTGTGCTGGCTGCTCCGAGATGAACGCCGTGGTCTGACGGAGCTTCAGCAACAGTTTGCCAAGGCCAAGGCTACCTGGGAGACAGAGCGGGCAGAGCTCAAAGGTCATACCACCCAGGTGAGCCTCCCACCTGTCAGAGGCCTCTCCCCTTGCCCTCAGCCAGGCCTTTAGCTGTTGGATCTGGGAGTAGGATGCCAAGGCCATGCTCCTAGAGGAATAAGAACCCCTTCGCTTGCCCAGAGAGGGCAAGAGACTTTCCTAAAGTCACACAGCAAGAGTATCAGAAACGGTGGGGAATGGGGCAGGGAAGGAAGGTGGGCGATTGACAAAGGCACAGGAGCATCACAGGCACCTCTGTTGCACCATGGGCTCACAGGTGAGGCCAGCGTGCAGCCTCACTGCCGGCTGTTCTCATCTGCTCCTTCCTTTCCTCACAAGCACTCCCTTAGCCCCCGCTGCCTGGCTCTGTTTTGCTCTCTCCACTCAAACTGGGGGCCTCCCCTCCCAAATCCTCAGCATGCCCAAAGGAGCCTTAACCAGGAGCCCTGGGGATTCAGTGTCTGTTGTGTGCTTGAGGGCTACTTGCTGCTCTCCTTTGGCCTGAAATGTGAGAGGGTGGGCTTCCTCCCACTCAGAGAGGATGATCTGACCCCACAGCTCGGGCTCCAGCTTCTTCCATCCAGCTTTCCCCTACTGTAAGCTGCCTTCCCGGGTATCACCAGCCCCTGGGAGGCAGACACTCCGATGGTCTCTGCTGGACAGATGACAAAACTGGCACAGAGGAGTTAAATTTCTCTCTAAAGGTCACTCAGCTAATAAGTGGCAGACTGACCCTTGCTCCCCCAAACCTCTAACCCCTGGCTCCCTGTGACCCCAATTCTGCCTCCATTTGTGTGTGTGTGTTTTTTGAGATGGAGTCTCATTCTCAAAGGCTGGAGAGCAGGGGTGCAATCTTGGCTTACTGCAACCTCCACCTCCCCGGTTCAAGTGATTCTCCTGCCTTAGCCCCCAAAGTAACTGGAATTACAGGTGGCATGCCACCACGCCCAGCTAATTTTCATATTTTTAGTAGAGACAGCGTTTCACCATGTTGGCTAGGCTAATTTCGAACTTCGGATCTTAAGTGATCTGCCCACCTCACTCTCCCAAAGTGCTGGTAGTACAGGTATGAGCCACCGCACCCAGCCCCAATTCCACCTTCTTCCCACTGCTCACAGTCTCCTGGATACTTCCTGGGGCCACTACTCCCCTCCTAACCCTCTCTGCAGATCTCAGCTCCCTCCATCTGCACGTTCCACGGTGTCGGTTGTACCCACTGTCCCTATAGACCTGGGCATTTCAGGTGCTCCTCCCACCAAGAACCTGACCAGCCCACTGGGGATAAAAGGGGACATTGAGTCTAAAGGTTGCACATTCCCCTTCCTGCCACCCTGAAGTCAAGGGCCGAGAAAGCCATCTTGCTGGAGTGACCACTGCACATATGTTTGTGACTGTGTGCATGTCCCCATGCAGGCCTGTGGGAGGCAAGGCGAGGCCCCCAGCTTGCTAGGAGGGGTTATAAAACATGCTCCCCATCAACCCAAACCCATACTGCTGGTAAGAGTTAATGGGATATCATAAGAAGCAATGACTAGGAACCATGCCATGATGTTGCTGTGTGACCAAATAACCCCTTTGAACCTCTCCCTCCTCTATAAAATATGGATACCGATAGTAATCTTGCAGAGTTTTCATGAGGATACTGACATCATCCCTGAAAAGCCCACAGCACAGAACTTGGTTTAAAGAAAGAGCTCTTTAGCCGGGCACAGTGGCTTATGCCTGTAATCTCAGTACTTTAGGATGCCGAGGTGGGTGGATCACCTGAGGTTTGGAGTTCGAGGCCAGCCTGGCCAACATGGAGAAACCCCATCTCTACTAAAAATACAAAAAATTAGCCAGGTGTGGTGGCACATGCCTGTAATCCCAGCTACTGGGGAGGCTGAGACACGAGAATTGCTTGAATCCAGGAGGCAGAGGTTGCGGTGAGCCGAGATCATGTCATTGCACTCCAGCCTGGGCAACAAAAGCGAAACTTCATCTCAAAACAAAACAAAAAAAAAGAGCTCTTCAAACCCTTATTGCATGGAGGGATTAGGGGTTAGTTATGAGTGAGGAGGACTAAGCTGGGTTAGTCCCTGGTGAGGGGTATTCTGAGGAGACCTCTCCCCTTTTCCACTGCCGGCACCCAGGAGGGAAGGAGAGAGGAGGGCCGAGAGGAGTGGCCTCCTGGTGCCAGCTGCCCAGTCTGCTTCTTTCCCACAGATGGAGCTGAAGGCAGGGAAGGGGGCCGGGGAGCGGGCAGGGCCAGACTGGAAGGCAGCCCTACAGAGGGAGCGTGAGGAGCAGCAGCACCTCCTGGCTGAGTCCTACAGCGCTGTCATGGAGCTAACGAGGCAGCTGCAGATCAGTGAGCGGAACTGGAGCCAGGAGAAGCTGCAGCTGGTGGAGCGGCTGCAGGGTGAGAAGCAGCAGGTGGAGCAGCAGTTGAAGGACCTACAGAACCGCCTAAGCCAGGTGAGGCTCGCACCTGCCAGCTGCTTCCACCCACAAGGGAGAGTTGCCACAGAAATGATTCAGAAGCAGGATCTCCTTCAGCTACAGCCGATCTAGGTGCTCGTCCAGAGAGGTCTGGTGCAGTATCTCCTTCAGGTATAGCTGGATCCAGGCACTTAGAGAGTGCAGTGGGAACTAGATCTTTCTGTCTGCCTTAGTCTGTCAGGCCTGCTTTCCTTTGTGCTAGCTTTACTCTTAAACTAGCCGTTCCCAAATATGGCAACCATCAGTTTCATGCTCATATCTTAGAGCTTAGCAATTACATTAGATTGGCCAGATACGAGTCATGTACCCACCCCCGAAGCCTACCCAAATCCAGGAACCAAGAGGGAGGAACTAAGAGTGGTCCCCATGGGAAAATTGTGAGTCCTTCAATCAAAAGGAGGACAGGAAAAGCAGTCTTTGATCATCACTCCCCATTATAGTTCACTTCATGCAGCCAGCCACCACCTACCATATGCCGCTCTGCTGCACTCTTTATTTTGACTTTTCCCCTTTCACTTTAATTTTTATTTACTTTATTTGACACAGAGTCTCGCTCTGTCACCCAGGCTGGAGTGCAGTGCGCACTCAGCTCACTGCAGCCTCCGCCACTGGGGTTGAAGCAATTAACGTGCCTCAGCCTCATGAGTAGCTGGGATTACGGGTGTGTGTGACCACAACTGGCCAATTTTTGTGTTTTTAGTAGAGACAGGGTCTCACCATGTTGGCCAGGCTGGTCTCAAATGCCTAGCCTCAAGTGATCCTCCCACCTCAGCCTCCCAAAATGCTGGGATTATAGGTGTGAGCCACTGCGCCTGGCCTTATTTTTTATTTTAATTACATAAATCAGGACTTCATCTTTATATAAGGTCCAGTATTACAAAGGCATATTTCAGCACAATCCCTTTCTTGTCTTTTTTTTTTTTTGAGACGGAATTTTCCTCTTGTTACCCAGGCTGGAGTGCAGTGGTGTGATCTCGGCTCATGGCAACCTCCGCCTCCTGGGTTCAAGCAATTCTCCTGCCTCAGCCTCCCAAGTAGCTGGGATTACAGGCACGCGCCACCATGCCCAGCTAATTTTTGTATTTTTAGTAGAGACGGGGTTTTACCATGTTGACCAGGATGGTCTCGATCTCTTGACCCGGTGATCCACCCGCCTCAGCCTCCCAAAGTGCTGGGATTATAGGCGCGAGCCACCACTCCCAGCCCTCTTGTCATTTTTTTTTTTTAATTAAATTTTTTTTTTTTTAAGATGAGGTCTCACTATATGGATCAGGCTGAGACTGAGCTCCTGGTCTCAAGCCATCCTGCTACCTCAGCCTCCCGAGTAGCTGGGCCTTTCTTGCTATTTAAATTTATATTTACAGGGGTTTGTTTTGTGTTTTAATCATTAATCAAATTGTAATGTAGATGTTATCTATACTTTGCCTCTTTCATGAAGATCTGTTCACAGAAGGGAATAGAGACCTTCCTCGTCCAGTGTGACTGCTGCCCGGTGTTCCTAGTGTGGAGATGCTATGATTTGTTATCCAGTGATGAAATCTACATTGTTTTTGGTTTTTCATTTTCAAAACTTGTCCCTGAAGCTGGATGTGGCAGTGTGTGCCTACAGTCCCAGCTGCAAGGGAGCCTGAGGTGGGAGGATTGCTTGAGCTCAGGAGGTAGAGGCTGCAGTAAGCTGTGATCATTCCACTGCACTGCAGCCTGGGCAACAGAGCAAGACTTCGTATCTAAAAAAAGAAAAAAAAAATTCAAGTTGTGCCTCAGTGAATATCTCCACACATATATTTCTGCACATACATGACTATTTCAGTAGGATAGATTCTTAGAGGTGAAATTGCTAAATTCAAGGGCATGTGCATTTATAGTTGACGGTAACTGCCAAGCCGCCTTCTAGAAAGGCTATGCCCATGTATACTCCCACCAGCCGCACAGTGAGAAGGACAAGAAGTTTCTTTTTGCTTTATCTTTGCCAGTTCTTGTGATTACCAGTCTTTGAAATGTCTGCCCAAGTTAGGGTGTGAAATGCTCTCATTGCTTTAATTTGCATTTCTCTGACTTCTGCTACCGGTGAGCATTTTCCATGAGCTGATTGATCTTACCTACTCTCTCCTCCTACGTTATCTTCAGGACTTCAACAGCCCTCAGGATCACTATCACGAAACCCCTTTTTCAGATGAGGCAAAATGATTTACCCAAGGTCGTAAAGTGAGGAAAGGATAGGTCCAGAATCTGGCAGAACTCCCAAATCTGGAAAGTTCTGGTTCTGGGCCCTGCCCACTCTTCTGCAGGGACAGCAGTCCTTTGAGGTTCACACCTGCTAGGAGCCTGTGCTTGGGGAGTGCAGGATGGCAAGATAACTGACAAATCCCAGAACCAGCCAGGTTCCCATGGAAAGCAGGTCAGATGCATGCGTCTGTTTGCATCATCGAATCAAATTCCTGTCTGTAAAAGAAGAATTTCTTCTTATTAACAACAAAATATTTCTAAAATGATTTTGAAATTATGAAGCAAGCTTTATGTCATTCCTGGGGGAACATATCAACCCACAGGTGGATCTTGTGAGCTCCTCAGGGCACAGATTCCATGTCCTGATGTTTTCATATCAGGGACTTGCCAGCCCTCTAGCTCCAGCCAGGTCTCTCTGACATTCCTCTGCCTCCTGCACTTTAAACCAGATCCCCCAGCCGGACACAGTGGCTTACACCTGTGATCCCAGCACGTTGGGAGGCCGAGGCTGGCAGATCACGAGGTTAGGAGTTCAAGATCAGCTGGACCAATATGGTGAAAACCTGCCTCTACTAAAAATAGAAAAATTAGCCCAGCATGGTGGCACGCACCTGTGGTCCCAGCTACTTGGGAGGCTGAGGCAGGAGAATCGCTTGAACCTGGGAGGTGGAGGTTGCAGTGAGCCAAGATTGCACCACTGCACTCCAGCCTGAGCAACAGAGACTGTCTCAAAAAAAAAAAAATAATAATAAAATGTTAAATAAAATAAACCAGATCCCCCAAAGCAGCATTCTTCCTCACTCTGAACTGATTATTAAGCCAGCCTGGTGAAAGCAGCAGAGTGGCTGGTGGGAAAGAGCTTCTGACCAGGAGTCCCCAGTCAAGTCACCTCTGATCTCTGGGCCTCATTTGTAAAATAAGGATGACCATACATGACCTTCCCATCTTACAGGGCAGCTATGGAAATAAAGTGAGATAGCCACAAGATTTAAAGTGCTTCCTAGACTCACTCCGGTCTGTGGTTTGGTTTGATTCTGTGGTCTACATCTGTCATTGCTGTTCACTGATGTTAGCGTGCATTTGTTCGTTCGTTCGTTCCTTCCTTCCTTCCTTCATTCTTCCTCCCTCCCTACCTCCCTCCTTTCCTGCTTTCCTACTTTCCTTTCTTTCTCTTCCTTTCTTCTTCCTTTTTTCTCTTATTTTGAGATGAGGTCTTGCTCAGTCACCCAGGCTGGAACGCAGTGGTGCCGTCTCAGCTCACTGCAACCTCCACCTCCCAGGCTCAAGTGATCCTCCCACCTCAGCCTCCCATGTAGCTGGGATGACAGGCACACTCTACCACGCCTGGCTAACTTCTGTATTTTTTTTGTAGAGATGGGGTTTCACCATGTTGCCCAGGCTGGTCTTAAACTGCTGGGCTCAAGTGATCCTCCCACCCTGGCCTCCCAAAGTTCTGGGATTATAGGTGTGAGCTGCCACATGTGGCCTAGTGTTATTTTCATTGTTGCCCTTAATACTGTTTGTCTCATATTGGGTTCCTAGAAGCAAAGCCCTAAACATGGATTCAAGTACAAGTGAGATGACCAAGCCATGCTGGCTGGCTTGGGACTGAGGGCATCCCCTGGACTTTGACTTTTAAAATTAGAATAGTGTCAGTCATAGCCTCCTAGTTTTTTCAGAACTGAGGGTTCTAGGATGTGGGATTTTCAGTACAAACACTGAGAAAGTCCTGGGCAAGCTAAGACGCGTTGGTTACCCTGTGTGTAAGCAATTTGTTAACAGATGGAGCCAGCATGGGGAAGGAGAAGAAACCATGCAAGATAAGCCTGCAGAAGAAGTCTGCCCTTGGCCTTATCTGATGGCATGCCCGGGGTGTAAACAGTAAATCACCCCACAGTTTGGTCCATCTTAAGGCGAGGGATCTGCCTTTTGTGCCAGTCTTTTGGACCCCTGGCTTTGTCCACCATTGACAGTGATTGGGTTCTGGTTGCCCAAGGCAATCCTCCAGGGAAGGTTGTAGTGCCACATGGCACAGATGGAGCCACCAACAATGAGATATGCTACACCATTGTTACGATCATTCACTCATTCAGCTGCCTGACCTCTTAGTCTTGATGCTTTCATCTGTTAAATGGGAATAACCGTAGGAACACCCACCATACACAGTTTCTGTGAGGATTAAATTAATGTGGCCAGGCGTAGTGACTCACACCTGTAATCCCAGCACTTTAGGAGGCCGAGGCAGGTGGATCACCTGAGTCAGGAGATTAAGATCAGCCTGGCCAACATAGTGAAACCCCGTCTGTACTAAAAATACAAAAATTAGCCAGGCATGGTGGTAAGGGCTTGTAGTCCCAGCTACTTGAGAGTCTGAGACAGGAGAATCCCTTGAACCCAGGAGACAGAGGTTGCAGTGAGCCGAGATCGCACCACTGCACTTCAGTCTGGGCAACACAGTAAGACTCTGTCTCAAAAAAAAAAAAAAAAAAAAAATTAACTAATGTGTTTATAGGAGATGGGTTCCATCACAGGCCACCTAGAGGTGATAGAACTCCAAGAGGGGAGGGAACCAGAGGCCATCTCAAGGCCCACCAGGAAAGACTGCTGGGATCCATGAGTGATGACCACTGTGGATAGAGCAGCAGGGGTGCCTGGGTCTTTTTGCCACTCTGATGGGATATAGCTACTGTTTAGCTAGTGTAGCTGTTCTGCGAATTGTACCATGAATTCACACAGTAATGGCTGTTACTGTATTAGGTATAATGACATCTAGACGGATGTCTGCAAGTAGTTCCTTTTATTATCATTTTCCAAATCCACCTGGTGGGTGGGAGGGGGTGCTCTGAGCTGCTACCCACTGAGAAGGTGGCCCCTGGTCCATATGATGTAGGTTCTGTGGGCTGCAGAGTGGAATCTGGGGAGTGGCCCTGCTCAGAGCAGGGTCCTGCTTACCAGCTTTGCCCATTACCAACCCACCCTCTCTGCCCTTGCCCAGCTGCAGAAGGCTGCTGACCCCTGGGTCCTGAAGCACTCAGAGCTGGAGAAACAGGACAACAGCTGGAAGGAGGTGAGTAGGGCAGCTGCTGCCATGTTCTCTTGGCTCCTGACTATGCCGGAAAGGTCCCTGCTTATGGGGGACATGATAGGAAGTTGCTAAGTTGCTAACCCTGTCTCATAGGTCACACCCTTGCACCTTGGGCTCCTCAGCCCTAGGGTCTGTATCTCATAGTTCCTGCCTGTGGTTTGGAACTTGAGGAGGATCGAGCCTCTGCCAACTCTGAGGGAGAAACCCCAGGCCCATGTTGGTTTCACTTTTGCCCCTATGAAAAGCAGGGCCTCGAAATAGCCGTGTGATTTTGCATAAGTCAGTCTCCCTCTGAGCCCCAGTTGCCTGATTGGGAAATAAGAATCCCATGTTCTGCCTTGGGAAATAAGAATCCCATGTTCTGCCTTGGGAAATAAGAATCCCATGTTCATACCTCCTGGTATGGAGACCAATAAGGTCACATGGTTGAAGTTTGTCCATAAGCCTCAGGTGCACTGTCCATATAGCACCCAATGAATAACCAAACAGTGAATGCACAGGCCCTTCACATTGCCCCACTCCATCCTACAACAGCCTGAGGCAGTGGTCCATCAGTCAGGAGACTTGGTTGCAAATACATACCTATTCTGGGGAGCTGAGACAGGAGAGGATTTTATTGGGGGCTCAAAAGCAGACAATGGTGATGTAGTTCAGAAAACCAGTGCAAGGCCAGGTGCAGTAGCTCATGCCTGCAATCCCAGCACTTTGGGAAGCTGAGGTGGCCTGATAACTTGAGGTCAGGAGTTCGAGACAAGCCTGGCCAACATGGCGAAACCCCATCTCCACTAAAAAAATGCAAAAGTTAGCCGAGCGTGGTGGCATGCCCCATTAATCCCAGATACTAGAGAGACTGAGGCAGGAGAATTATTTGAACCTGGGAGGTGGAGGTTGCAGTGAGCCAAGATCGTGCCACTGCACTCTAGACTGGGTGACATAGTGAGACTCTTCTTTGAAAGAAAAAAGAAGGCTGGGCACAGCGGCTCATTGCCTGTAATCCCAGAACTTTTAGGAGGCTGAGGTGTTTGCAGATCATGAGGTCAGGAGTTCGAGACCAGCCTGGCCAACATGGCGAAACCCCATCTCTACTAAAAAAATGCAAAAGTTAGCCGAGCGTGGTGGCATGCCCCATTAATCCCAGATACTAGAGAGACTGAGGCAGGAGAATTATTTGAACCTGGGAGGTGGAGGTTGCAGTGAGCCAAGATCGTGCCACTGCACTCTAGACTGGGTGACATAGTGAGACTCTTCTTTGAAAGAAAAAAGAAGGCTGGGCACAGCGGCTCATTGCCTGTAATCCCAGAACTTTTAGGAGGCTCAGGTGTTTGCAGATCATGAGGTCAGGAGTTCGAGACCAGCCTGGCCAACATGGCGAAACCCCATCTCTACTAAAAAAATGCAAAAGTTAGCCGAGCGTGGTGGCATGCCCCATTAATCCCAGATACTAGAGAGACTGAGGCAGGAGAATTATTTGAACCTGGGAGGTGGAGGTTGCAGTGAGCCAAGATCGTGCCACTGCACTCTAGACTGGGTGACATAGTGAGACTCTTCTTTGAAAGAAAAAAGAAGGCTGGGCACAGCGGCTCATTGCCTGTAATCCCAGAACTTTTAGGAGGCTCAGGTGTTTGCAGATCATGAGGTCAGGAGTTCGAGACAAGCCTGGCCAACATGATGAAACGCTGTCTCTACTAAAAATACAAAAATTAGCTGGGTGTGGTGGAGCATGCCTGTAATCCCAGCTACCCGGTAGGCTGAGGCAGGAGAATTGCTTGAACCTGGGAGGCAGAGGTTGCAGTGAGCTGAGATCACGCCAGTGCACTCTAGCCTGGGCAACAGAGCAAGACTGCATCTCGGGGGGAAAAAAAGAAAAAAGAAGTCTGGCCACAGTGGTTTATACCTGTAATCCCAGCACTTTGGGAGGCTGAGGCAGGCAGATCACTTGGGGTCAGGAGTTTGAGACTAGGCTGGCCAAAATCGGGAAACCCCATCTCTACTAAACATACCAAGATTAGCTAGGTGTGGTGGTGGGTGCCTGTAATCCCAGGTACTCAGGAGACTGAGGCAGGAAAATCACTTGAACCTGGGAGAGGGAGGTTGCAGTGAGCTGAGATCGTGCCACTGTGCTCCAGCCTGAGTGATAGAGAGAGGCCCTGTCTCAAAAAAAAAAAAAAAAGAAGAAGGAAAGGAAGAAGAAAACCCAGGGACTGGACTCAGTGAGGGGCTGAGGGTGAGGACAGAGAAGACAAGCCTACCCCAGAACAGTAGCTGCTGGGTTGCTGCTGTCACCACCAACTGAACAGTGAGCTACTGGATGCTTTGTTACAGTCACCACCTTTGGATTAAATTCTAAGTCATCTCTGGCCCAGCCTGGATCACATATAGTGGAGGTGTTAGGTGTAGTGCAGCCAGATAATTGACGACGGCATTCCTGCTCTCCAGATGAGGAGATTCAGGAGTTGAGGTCCAGGCTGGTCTCCTGTTCCATGTCCTTAGAGCTCTGGTGGCCAGAACTGACCCTTCCTGTCTCTCTTCCTTGACAGACACGCAGTGAGAAGATCCACGACAAGGAGGCTGTTTCCGAAGTTGAACTTGGAGGAAACAGTCTAAAGAGGTGCTTACATCCGGGCCCCCTGCTCCACCTCTCTGCCCGCCCCGCAGCCCCCCTCCACCCACAGCCCCGCCCCCTCCGCCCCCTGCTGTGCCCCGCACCCACTCTGCCCGCTTTTGCTGCAGCCGCACCCCGCCTCTTTGCCCCTCTTCCTGCCACCACCACACTGTATCCGAGTTGGGAAAGCATGGCGATATGGTTTCTCTGGAACCTACTCAGGAGCTGGAAAGCTTGGGGCAGTGGGAATTCAGGCCTCTGCGTGTTGATTCCCGGCATGGAAGACAGGCCCCAGCACATCCTTGCTGGAAACAAACCGTTTACTTCCTCTTGGGATTCTTCTCTCTGTCTCCAGAGTTAGGAGTTAAGATGGACCTCCGTTCCTGGAATTACTGAGCAGCATCCTTTGGGCCCAGTCCTGTGCTGTGGCCAAGGAGACCCCTACCCCAAGAGCATAAGGACCATGTCTTCACTGCTAGGAAGCCCGTGAAAGGAATAAGGGAAACAGAACCCAAGCTGCCATCAGACCAGCCCAGAAGCAAGGCAGGCAGGACAGGCTGTGGAGTCAGAGGGCCAGGTTTGAATGCCAGCCCTGCCAGTTCTAGCTCTATGATCTTGACCTTGAGCAGTTCTTCCCACCTCTCTCTAGTGGGGATGATAGGAGCTGCCTCTTAGAGTTATCAGAGTGGTCTGACACATGTAACCTACTTCCGTATGCCTGGCATGTTCAGTGATTCAGGCAACATGTGTGCCAGGAGTTTCATGGCATCTTAGTTTGGGTTCTCCCATAAACAAACCCTGAGACAAGAATTTAAGTGCAAATGGTTTATCTGGGACAGATTTTCAGGAAACACTGGAAGTGAAACCGGAAAGGGAAAGCAGCCACTAAAAGAAGCTTCAGCAGAGTTATCCCATGGGCAGTTGGAGTTCAGGCTCTCGGAGGAACACAGGGAGCCAGAGCAGAACACGCAGCTTAGCATCTTCCCACCCGAGGAAGAGGAGGTTGGGGAACTTGCTTGCCATATCCCACCTGTTTTTAGGGCTGTGTTTAGGGGCATTAATTCTATGCTATTTCTAGCTTCTGTTTTTTGTTTTGTGATGGAGTTTTGCTCTGTCTCCCAGGCTGCAGTGCAATGGTACATTCTTAGTTCACTGCAACCTCTGCCTTCCATGTTCAAGCAATTTTCCTGCCTCAGCCTCCCAAGTAGCTGGGGGATCTTGGCTGATTGTAATCTCCGCCTCCCAAGTTCAAGCGATTCTCCTACCTTAGCCTCCCAAGTAGCTGGGGTTACAGGTGTGTGCCACCACACTCAGCTGATTTTTGTATTTTTAGTAGGGATGGGGTTTCACTATGTAGGCCAGGCTGGTCTTGAACTCCCTCCTCTTGATCTGCCCACCTCGGCATCCCAAAGTGCTGGGTCTAGCGTCTTCTATGTGAAGGTCAAGTATGATCCCACAGGCAGAAAAAAAAAGCCATCAGGTGGAGAATGGTTTAGTATGCAGTTTTAGGTTTATAGGTGAAAGTGCAGAGAGAAGCCAGGTACAGTGGCTCATGCCTATAATTCTAGCATTTTGAGAGGCAGAGGCAGGAAAATTGCTTGAGGCCAGGAATTTGAGACCAGCCTGGGCAACACAGGGTGACCCCCATCTCTACAAAAAAATTTTTTTAATAACCCAGGCATTAGGCCGGGAGCATTGACTCATGCCTGTAATCCCAGCACTTTGGGAGGTCAAGGTGGGTGGATTACTTTAGGTCAGGAGTTCCAAACCAGCCTGGCCAACATGGTGAAACTCCACCTCTACCAAAAATACAAAAATTAGCCAGGCATGCTGGTGCATGCCTGTAATTCCAACTACTCCAGAGGCTGAGACAGGAGAATCGCTTGAACCCAGGGGGTAGAGGTTGCAGTGAGCTAAAATCATGCCACTACACTCCAGCCTGGGTGACAAAACGAGACTCTGTCTCAAAAAAAAAAAAAAAAAAAAAAAAGTTAGCCAGGCGTGGTGGTGCACACCTGTAGTCCCAGCTACTCTGGAGGCTGAAATGGGAAGACCACTTGAGCCCAGGAGTTTGAGGCTACAGTGAACTATTGCACCACTGCATTTCAGCCTGGGTGACATACCAAGATGTGTTTGGGAAAAAAAAAAAAAGAAAATTGCAGACAATGTGGGGCTGGACACCAACAACATCTTCTACAAGAGATGAACAAGGCCGGGCACGGTGGCTCACAGCTGTAATCCCAGCACTTTGTGAGACTGAGGCGGGTGGATCACGAGGTCAAGAGTTCGAGACCAGCCTGGCAAATATGGCAAAACCCCCTGTCTTTACTAATAATACAAAAAGAAGCTGGGAGTGCTAGTGCACACCTGTAATTCCAGCTACTTGAGAGGCTGAGGCAGGAGAATCACTTCAACTAGGGAGGCAGAGGTTGCAGTGAGCCGAGATCACGCCACTGCACTCCAGCCTGGGCAATGGAGTGAGACTATATCTCAAAAGAAAAATTTAACGGCCGGGCGCAGTGGCTCACGCCTGTAATCCCAGCACTTTGGGAGGCCAAAGTGGGTGGATCACGAGATCAAGAGATCGAGACCATCCCGATCAACGTGGTGAAACCCCGTCTCTATTAAAAATACAAAAAATTAGCTGGGCATGGTGGCGTGTGCCTGTAATCCCAGCTACTCAGGAGGCTGAGGGGGAAGAATTGCCTGAACCCAGGAGGCAGAGGTTGCGGTGAGCCGAGATCGCGCCATTGCACTCCAGCCTGGGTAACAAGAGCGAAACTCAATCTCAAAAAAAAAAAAAAAAAAAATTTAAAGAAAACGAGGTGAACAAGACAGTCCTGGTCTCTGCCCTCACACAGCACCCGGACCAGGATGGTAGACCAGAGTATGTACTCATTGTTATTTCCACTCATAACCGTGTTTCCTCCTCTGCCCTTTGTAGGACCAAATCTGTTTCTTCCATGTCTGAGTTTGAAAGTTTGCTGGACTGTTCCCCCTACCTTGCTGGTGGAGACGCCCGGGGCAAGAAGCTGCCTAACAACACTGCCTTTGGCTTTGTGAGTTCTGAACCAGGGGATCCAGAGAAAGACACCAAGGAGAAGCCTGGGCTCTCCTCGAGGGACTGCAACCACCTGGGTGCCCTGGCCTGTCAGGACCCCCCAGGGAGGCAGATGCAGCGTAGCTATACGGCTCCTGACAAGACGGGTATCCGAGTCTACTATAGCCCCCCAGTGGCCCGGCGCCTGGGAGTCCCTGTGGTTCATGACAAAGGGGGCAAGATCATTATTGAGCCCGGCTTCCTCTTCACCACAGCCAAGCCCAAAGAGTCGGCCGAGGCCGATGGGCTGGCTGAGAGCTCCTATGGTCGGTGGCTCTGCAACTTCTCACGGCAGCGCCTGGACGGAGGCTCAGGGGGCAGCCCCTCGGCGGCCGGGCCTGGCTTCCCAGCGGCCCTGCATGACTTCGAGATGTCGGGCAACATGAGTGACGACATGAAGGAGATCACCAACTGCGTGCGCCAGGCCATGCGCTCGGGCTCACTGGAGAGGAAAGTGAAGAGCACGTCCAGCCAGACGGTGGGCCTGGCCAGTGTGGGCACACAGACCATCCGCACGGTTAGCGTGGGCCTGCAGACTGACCCACCCCGCAGCAGCCTCCATGGCAAGGCCTGGTCACCCCGCAGCTCTTCGCTCGTGTCTGTGCGCAGCAAGCAGATCTCCTCCTCCCTGGACAAGGTCCATTCGCGCATCGAGCGGCCCTGCTGCTCCCCCAAGTATGGCTCACCAAAGCTCCAGAGGCGGTCCGTATCCAAGCTGGACAGCAGCAAGGACCGCAGCCTGTGGAACCTGCACCAGGGCAAGCAGAACGGCTCAGCCTGGGCCCGCTCCACCACCACACGGGACAGCCCTGTACTGAGAAACATCAACGATGGACTCTCCAGCCTCTTCAGTGTGGTGGAGCACTCAGGGAGCACGGAGTCTGTCTGGAAACTGGGCATGTGTGAGACGCGGGCCAAGCCCGAGCCTCCCAAGTATGGCATCGTGCAGGAGTTCTTCCGGAATGTGTGCGGCCGGGCGCCAAGCCCCACCTCGGCAGCAGGAGAAGAGGGCACCAAGAAGCCAGAACCCCTCTCCCCAGCCAGCTACCATCAGCCGGAGGGGGTGGCCAGGATCCTGAACAAGAAGGCAGCCAAGTCAGGCAGCAGTGAGGAGGCCAGAACCACCATGCTCTCCCAGGTGGGGAAGGACGGTGTTCTGCGGGACGGAGATGGAGCCATGGTCCTTCCCAATGAGGTAGGTGGGTGGGATCTGTCCTTTATCTTGGGAGGTGGAGTTAGTATATATGGTCCAAGCTTTTTTGGTTTTTATTTATTTGTTTATTTTTTTGAGACAGAGTTTCGCTCTTGTTACCCAGGCTGGAGTGCAATGGCGCGACCTCAGCTCACCGCAACCTCCGCCTCCTGGGTTCAGGCAGTTCTCCTGCCTCAGCCTCCTGAGTAGCTGGGATTACAGGCACACGCCACTGTGCCCAGCTAATTTTTTTTGCATTTTTTTTTAATAGAGACAGGGTTTCACCATGTTGACCAGGATGGTCTTGATCTCTTGACCTCGTGATCCACCCGCCTCGGCCTCCCTAAGTGCTGGGATTACAGGCTTGAGCCACCGCACCTGGCCCTTTTTTGGTTTTTAAGTTGAGAGATATGGGCTGGGCAAGGTGGCTCATGCCTGTAATCCCAGCAACTTGGGAGGCCGAGGCAGGTGGATCACCTGAGATTAGGAGTTGGAGACCAGTCTGGCCAACATGGTGAAACCCCATCTCTACCAAAATTACAAAAATTGGCCAGGTGTGGTGGCGTGTACCTGTACTCCCAGCTGCTTTGGAGGCTGAGGCAGGAGAATCACTTGAACCCAGGCCAAGGTTGCAGTGAGCTGGTATCATGCCACTGCACTCCAGCCTGGGTGATAGGGTAAGACTCCATCTCAAAAAATATAATAAATATAAAAATATAAATAAAACAAAAAATTCAGGGACATGACCACATGTCCCAGGAAGTTCTTAATGCTGGTCTGGGATAGAGTTGGAAGGTCCCAGACCTCGAACAATGTAGACCTAATGGTCACGTGATCTAAATGCCACGAGACTAGTGAACATGGCTTAACCTGCTGTTTTCACACCACCCACCGGGGACTGCCAGCATCCCCTCCAGGGAAGGGGCCTGTCCACTGCTCTCCTGCCACCTGGTGGTGTGCTGGAGCCAGCTTGTTTGGCTTGTGGCAGCCAGTTGTCAGCATCTGTTTAACATCACCTTGGTACCTTGAGATTGGCGACAGTGGGAGGACTTAAAGCATAAAAACGGCAAACACTACAAATCAGGCCTCTTCCTCTCACTCCGGGAAAACAAATTGTTAAACATTAGCAGGCATACCACTTCCCCACCCCATCAAGACTTCACACCTAAGTGCTCACATACCCTCTTAGAATCTTTTGCTGCATACCCCACTCCTGCTATCAATTTCTTTTAAGTTAATTAGTGAGCCTTATTTGAATGTTAGGAAGCATATAAGTTAACTTTGCAGAAAGGGAAGGAAATATGTTTGAAGGCTGGCATATTTTTTTTTCTTTTTTTTTTAGAGATGGGGTTTCTCCATGTTGGTCAGGCTGATCTCAAACTCCTGACCTCAGGTGATCTGCCCACCTCGGCCTCCCAAAGTGCTGGGATTACAGGTGTGAGCCACCACACCCAGCCAGATGGCATATTTTATAAAACCCAAAGAGTAGGAACCTGAAGAGCTCAGCAGCTTTTCCCTGTCTTCCTATCCTGTCTTTTAAGCTTCACCCTCTCTGACTCTCTGTTGCATTTGCACAAGGACTGGGTGGACTGTCCCAGCTCTGGCTTTATAACATCTTCCAGCTCAAGCCACTGGGAGACACTGACACAGATCCTTCTCTCCCAATTCCACATTTCTGAAAGAAGGAAACTCTGATTGGTCCAACTAGAGGCAAGTGTACCCCTTGCTCCGGTTAGCTGTGGCTGGGAGTGGTACCATGTGGTCTGCTGTGGACTCAGTGGGGGCACAAAGACATGAGAAGGGCTCTGTGTGCAATGGGCTGTGATGGACTCAAACATTCTAATTTTATTCTTTTTTTGAGATGGAGTCTCGCTGTCATCAGGCTGGAATGCAGTGGCATGATCTTGGCTCACTGGAACCTTCACCTCCCAGGTTCAAGCGATTCTCCTGCCTCAGCCTCCTGAGTAGCTGGGACTATAGGTGCCCGTCACCATGCCCACCTAATTTTTTATATTTTAGCAGAGATGGGTTTTCACCATGTTGGCCAGGATGGTCTCCATCTCCTGACCTCGTGATCTGCCTGCCTCTGCCTCCCAAAGTGCTGGGATTACAGGAGTGAGCCACCACGCCGAGCAAACATTCTACTTTTCTATTATTATACATTTGAATGGCTTCAAGTTTTTCTCTAGTGTAAATAATATTGTGGTGAACATCTTAGTGCAAAACCCATTTTATTTCACATTTCAGACTATTTCCTTAGGTGGAAGTTGCAGATTAAATGGGATTAAAGGATGAAAAAATAAATGTTTTAAAGTTACTTGATAAATATTGCCAAATTGTTTCTCAAAAATATACCATTTCTACAGCCTCCAGCAGTGTGTGGTGAGTGCTTTACTCTTCTCTACTCTCACTCAGCTGGCTGCCATTTAAAAACATCTTTTAAATATTTATTCCTATTTTGGCCAGGCACAGTGGCTCATGTCTCTAATTCCAACACTTTGGGAGATGGAGGTGGGCAGATCACTTGAGCCAGGAGTTCAAGACCAGTCTGAGCAACATGACGAGAACTCATCTCTACATTAACAAAATAAAAAAGGCCGGGAGCAGTGGCTCATTCTTGTAATCATAGCACTTTAGGAGGCCAAGGCAGGCAGATCACTTGAGGTCAGTAGTTGAAGACCAGCCCGGACAACATGGTAAACCCTGTGTCTACTTAAAATACAAAAATTAACCCAGTGTGATGGCAGGCACCTGTAATCCCAGCTACTTGGGAGGCTGAGGCAGGAGAATTGCTTGAACCCGGGAGATGGAGGTTGCAGTGAGCCGAGACTGCACCATTGCATTCCAGCCTGGGCAACAGAGCGAAACTCCATCTTAAAAACAAAAAAAATCCAGGCATGGTGGTGCTGCGTGCCTGTGGCCCCAGCTACTTGGGAGACTGAGGAAGGAAAATCCTTAAAGCCACTGCACTCCAGCTGGGACAACAAAGGGAAACCCTGTCTCCAAAAAAGAAAAAATATATTTCTTTCTATTTTTGTAACTGTTTTTTTTTCTTGAGACAGAGTCTCACTCTGTCGCCTAGGTTGGAATGCAGCGGTACGAGCAACCACTGCCTCCCAGGTTCAAGCAATTCTCCTGTTTCAGCCTCCCAAGTAGCTGGGACTAAAGGCCTGAGCCACCACACCCAGCTAATTTTTGTATTTTTAGCAGAGATGGGTTTTCACCATGTTGGCCAGGCTGGTCTCGAACTCCTGACCTCAGGTGATCTGCCTGCCTCAGCCTCTCAAAATGTTGGGATTATAGATGTGAGCTACTGTGCCCAGCCTATTTTTTGTAAGTTTTTAAAAAACTGTTAAGTTTGGCCTGGCACGGTGGCTCACGCCTGTAATCCCAACACTTTGGGAGGTCGAGGTAGGCGGATCACCTGAGGTCAGGAGTTTGAGACCAGCCTGGCCAGCATGGTGAAACCCTGTCTCTACTAAAAATAAAAAAAAAATAGCCAAGTGTGGTGGCAGGCGCCTGTAGTCCCAGCTACTTAGGGGGCTGAGGCATGAGAATCTCTTGAACCCAGGAGGCAGAGGTTGCAGTGAGCCGAGATTGCATTATCGCACTCCAGCCTGGGCAACAGAGCAAGATCCGTCTCAAGGTAAAAAAAAAAAAGAAAGCTGGTCATTGAGTTTCAGTCCAAAGGCCAATAGCTCAGTAACCTAGAAAGAGCAGATGTTTCAGTTAAAGTCTAAAGGAAGGGCCAGGCACAGTGGCTCATACCTATAATCCCAGCACTTTGGGAGGCCAAGAGAGGTGGATTGCTTGAGGCCAGGAGTTTGAGACCAGCCTTGCCAACATAGCAAAACCCCATCTCTACTAAAAAAATAGAAAAATTAAGTGGGCATGGTGGCGAACGCTTATAGTCCCAGATACTCAGGAGGCTGAGGCATGAGAATTGCTTGAACTGAGGAAGCAGTGAGCCAATATTGGACCACTGCACCCCAGCCTGAGCAACAGAGTGAGACTCAGTCTCATAAATAAATAAGTTAATTAAACAAATAAATAAATAAATGTCTGAAGGCAGGAAAAAAGCCAGTGTCTCAGTCTGAAGGCTGTCAGGCAAGAGGAATTCTCTTACTTGAGGGAGAGTAGGCCCTCTTGTTCTGTTCAAGCCTTCAACTGACTGGATGAGGTCCACCCACGTTAGGGATAATATACATGTCAGTTTTTTTTGTTTTTTTTTTTGAGACGGAGTATCGCTGTCACCTAGGTTGGAGTGCAGTGGTGCGATCTCAGCTCAGTGCAACCTCTGCCTCCCAGGCCCAAACGATTCTTGTGCCTCAGCCTCCCAGGTAGCTGGGATTACAGGCAGGTGACACTACACATGGCTAATTTTTTATTTTTAGTAGAGACAGGGTTTCACCATATTGGCCAGGCTGGTCTCAAACTCCTGACCTCAAGTGATCCACCCACCTCAGCCTCCCAAAGTGCTGGGATTACAGGCATGAGCTATCACACCTGGCCAAGAATTTACATGTTAATCTCATTTCAAAACACTCTCACAGAAATACCCAGAACAATGTTTTATGTAATATCTCAGCACCCGGTGGCCCAGTCATATTGACATATGAAATTACCCATCACTCGCGTGTAACCAGCACCACATCAAGAAACAACAGTACAAGGCTGGGCGAGGTGTAATCCCAGCTACTCAGGAGGCTGAGGCAGGAGAATCTCTTGAACCTGGGAGGCAGAGGTTGCAGTGAGCCAAGACCACACCACTGCACTCCAGCCTGGGCAACAGAGCAAGACTCCATCTCAGAAAAAAGAAAAAAAAAGAAACAATAGAACAAAGTTGGCTGGAGTTTGAATGTTGATTTTAAAGTTTATCCAAATGTCGTTCAGTATATAAAATGTACGTGCTACCCACTGGCCCAGTAGTTCTTCTTTTAGGAATGTAGCTTATGGAAATATTCACAGAGGTAGATAAAGAAAAATAGTAATTAAAAAAAAAAGACAGGGAAGGAAATCACAAAGCTCAAGAGAGGTTAAGCAACTCTCCCAAGGTCACACAGCTAGTAATTGGCAAAGCTGGGATTTGAACCAAGCAGTTTGGCTCTATCGCAGCACTTTTATTTCATTTATTTATTTTTTAAAGAGATGGAGTCTTGCTCTGTTGCCCAAGCCAGAGTCCAGTGGCACAATCATAGGTCACTGCCATCTTGACCTCCTGGGCTCAAAGGATCCTACTACCTCAGCCTCCCACATGGCCCAGTTCAGCAGCACTTTGGGTTTTTTTCTTTTTCTGTTTTTTTTTTTTGAGACGGAGTTTCACTCTCGTTACCCAGGCTGGAGTGCAATGGCGCGATCTCAGCTCACCGCAACCTCTGCCTCCTGGGTTCAGGCAATTCTCCTGCCTCAGCCTCCTGAGTAGCTGGGATTACAGGCACGCACCACCACGCCCAGCTAATTTTTTGTATTTTTAGTAGAGACGGGGTTTCACCATGTTGACCAGGATGGTTTCGATCTCTTGACCTCATGATCCACCCGCCTTGGCCTCCCAAAGTGCTGGGATTACAGGCTTGAGCCACCGCACCCGGCCTTTTTTTTTTTTTTTTTTTTTCTTTGAGATGGAGTCTTGCTCTGTCCCCAGGCTGGAGTGCAGTGGCGTGATCTTGGCTCACTGCAACCTCTCCCTCCCGGGTTCAAGCACTTCTCCTGCCTCAGCCTCCCGAGTAGTTGGGACTACAGTCCTGTGCCCAGCTAATTTTGGTATTTTGAGTAGAGACAGGGTTTCACCATGTTGGCCAGGCTAGTCTCGAACTTCTGACCTCAGGTGATCCTCCTGCCTTGGCCTCCCAGAGTGCTGGGATTACAGGTGTGAGCCACCATGCCCAGCTGCCCAGCAGCACTTTTAATCATTATTTCTATCTGTTAGTAAAAAATTAGAAACTACCCAAATGTATATCAAAAGTAAATTGGGGATGGGCACAATGGCTCACGCCTGCAATCCCACTGCTTTGGGAGGCCCAGGCATGTGGATCACTAGAGGTCAGGAGTTCAAGACTAGCCTGGCCAGCATGGTGAAACCCCGTCTCTACTAAAAATACAAAAATTAGCTGGGCATGGTGGCACATGCTTGTAATCTCAGCTACTTGGGAGGCTGAGGCATGAGAATCGCTTGAACCCAGGAGGTGGAGGTTGCAGTGAGTCAAGATCATGCCACTGTACTCCAGCCTGGGTGACAGAGTAAGATTCTGTCTTTAAAAAAAAAAAAAAAAAAGTGGGCCGGGCGCAGTGGCTCATGCCTATAATCCCGGTACTTTGGGAGGCCGAGGCAGGTGGATCACTAGGTCAAGAGATCAAGACCATCCTGGTCAACATGGTGAAACCCCGTCTCTACTAAATATACAAAAATTAGCTGGGCATGGTGGCGCAGCCTGTAGTCCCAGCTACTCAGGAGGCTAAGGTAGGAGAATTGCTTGAACCCAGGAGATGGAGGTTGCGATGAGCCGAGATTGCGCCATTGCACTCCAGCCTGGGTAACAAGAGCAAAACTCCGTCTCAAAAAAAAAAAAAAAAGTGAATTGGGTATATAAATCACTTATTTCTATCTAGTGAAATAGTATAGAGACATTTTAAAAAAGGGCGATCAGCCAGGCATGATGGCTCATGCCTTTGGGAGGTATGAGCACCTAAAGGTACTAATCCCAGCAGGCTGAGGCAGGAGGATTGCTTAAGCTCAGGAGTTCAAGACCAGCCTGAGCAATATAGTGAGACTCTGTCTCAAAAGAAAAAAAAGGGAAGGAGAGGTAGACATACCTAGTAACAGAAAAGTGTTCATGTTTTACAGTTGCAAAATAAGCTGTAGGGGATGAGGTCATTTTGGTAAATGTATGTTGAGAATCTCTTCGGTGTACAGGACCATGGACAGTGTCCACTGTCCTCTGTATAGCCCGAAATATATTATAATGAACATCCATTACTGCTTTAATGAGAGAAGAACAATAAAATAAAAAACTGATCCAGTGAGGAGCTTCAGCCCCTGGGAACTGGTCCATGGCTGAGTCTCAGTTTCTTGCCTGGCACACCACAGAGGCCCATGTCTCCTGGCTCCTTTTGACTTCCTGCCTCCCTGCCTCCCTCTTCCTAGGACGCTGTTTGTGACTGTAGCACCCAGTCTCTCACTTCCTGCTTCGCCCGGTCATCCCGCTCTGCGATCCGCCACTCTCCTTCCAAGTGCAAGCTTCACCCTTCAGAGTCCAGCTGGGGTGGGGAGGAGAGGGCGGCCGCCCCCAGCGAGTGACAGAGCAGCCAAGCTCCCTGCCTCAACCAGCCCAGCCCCTGGATAGCAGAAGGGAACCAGCGAAGACGAGACAAGATGAGGTGAGGCGAGGGGCTGTGTCCTCAGCACTGCCTGGCCCTGGAGGGACAGCAATGATGCCACTGCCACAATGCAGCTCTCACATCAAGGTAAAGCCGGGTCTCTTGCTGGCCTCTGGGTGGTGAGCTCCAACTTCCCAGGGGAAGGCAGTAAGTGGGAGAGAGACCAAAACTGGGCATCCACTGAGAGATCCCTCAAGAGCCGATCCCTGGGTCCTAAGAGAGAGCCTTGCCTGGTTCTGCCCATGTCCCCCTCTTGGAAGAGCCCAGGAAGGATACATGTCTGGCCATGCCTTTGGGGAAAAGGACTCAGAGAGCTGTTCCCTGCTGACCATCCACCCCTTCATTCAGGAGGAGACAGTGCTGAGAAGAACAGGCTTTGCTCTAGAGCTGTGTTGGGTTCCTGGTGGAGCCCAGCTGGGCATCATCACCGTCACCTCCTTCTCTCCACCACCACCTCCTCTCAGCCCCACTGCTCTAGATTGCTGGGACACTAGGGGGTATGATAGGGCAGTAGCCAGGGCCAAGTATCTACTTGGAATTCTGGAGCCCTGGATCTCCCTGCCCATAGCCTGGGTGCAGCAAGAGCTGGGAGGCAAAGTGGAAATGTACTGGGTGCAGGGTTGGGGAGTGATTGCAGTTGCCTTCCTTGCCAAAGTGACTTGGGGCCCCAACCTTCCCAGCAGACTTATTGAAGACAGAAACAGGTAGAGTCAGTCTTCAGACCTGGTGCATAGATAAATGCCTAAATACACTGCCTTGATCTCGATCTCAGAGGCCTCTTTCCCTGGCACCCTGAGAGGGGGCGGGTGCTACATCTCCACTGTGTTTACATCCTGCAGCTGGTTGGGGGAGGCAAAGATATTCCCAGTAAGAGATTCCCAGTTGGCCAGGTCAGGCCCAGGAGAACACCAAGAGGCCAGAGCCCAGGACACAGCAGTAGACTGGGGCCTAGGAACACATATCTTGCCTAGACTGTTTATTTGAATTTTTCATGCTATAAATATTTAAGGTGGTTTAATTTATTTTAATAACTTAATTTACCCCCACAGTCCCTAAGGTAATTTATTGGAGGTTGGAACATGCATTCTTGCCACTGGGACAAGATGGGGCTTCTAACAGCACAGACAGGCACGGGGTCCCCCGGGTGGATGAGGCAGCTTGGCAGCCAGGTTTGGTGACCTGGTCTCCTGGTCAGATTTGGAGGGCCCCTCAACAGAGTTGTACCCCAACACTGCTGGCCATGTGGCCTCAGAACACTACTTATTACTCAGTGCCTGGTACTTGGCCAGCCCCAGCGGTCAGTCTGTAAATACTGACAAGGTGGAGGGCTGGATGGCCATCACCACTCGCCGGACATTCTCCATTGCCGTCTCATTTCCCTCTGACACCTTTCTTCATGAGTCGAATGTGGATTACTAAGGCTCTCTTAAGAGCGTGGAGATCCCTCCAAGTTTCCCAAATGAGAACTTGAAGGAAAACAGGACTGAACTTCGAGAATGTTGTTTATTGCAGCTTTGCACATAAACCTGAGAGCGTCTCCCAGCCTGCCTCGGTTCTCACCAGCCTGCCAGCCTTCTCACCAGCCTCTCTCCTTAGCCTTATGGCCTTTCACCGCTCTTCTCCTTGCCCCAGCTCTGCTGCCTGCCCTTCCTCATATCCCCCGTGAGCTGCCTGAGCTATTGGTTGGATTTCGACGTGGCTCGTTGCAGCATGTGTGTGGGTGCCTCCCATGGCCTCCCCTTGGTACCAGTGAACCCATTTTTGTTGCACAAATGCTTCCCATATACACATAGACATGCAGCTTCCTGTAAGTGTCTGGGGACCCAGAGGGGAAACACCAGGGTGGATCGGCTTGTCTGCAGAATTGCTCATCAGGAAGACCAAAACCCAGTAGCTTTGCTGATTTGCCCCCAGGACTCTGGAGGCACCCCAGCACTTCCACCTCCCACCTGCTAGTTCCCAGACCCACCCATTCGGGATCACCTAGAACAGTTACCCAAAGCCCTACATCTCCCTTCCCTGCAGGCTGAACACCAGGGTCATGTCAGTCCCACCAGCTGCTTCCTCCATGCCCCAGTGACATGTGTAGAAAGAGCAGGCAGCCACTGGAGCTGTGGGTCAGTTCCCCTCTGGGATGCTGCTGCTCTCACCCGTGAGGTCGGGGGGCCTTCCAAGGTTATCTCCAGGTGAGGGGATTCACACCAGGCCACAAGTCACCAGAGGCCTTCTGCCACCTCCCAGAGCAACAGAGAGCCAGGGATCCTGTGTACCCAGCCTTGGGGAGAAATCCCCGTTGGACCTAAGCCCCAAGACCTATGGACTACTCAGCCTTACCATCGTACTATCCAAGATTGTCCTTGCCATCTTCGTTGTCTCAGCCAGACCTCGGTTTTCAGTGAAGCCCCAGTTTCTATTTCCTGCATGCCACTGTGCAAGGCCACTCATCACTGTTTCTGCAGAAGCCTCCAGATGTGGGGCTTGATGGGGTTGAACATGTTACATGTAAATATTGGTTTGGTTTGGTTTTTAGCATTTTACTTGGTAACTGGTTGTGTTTTCTTTTTTGGGGTGGGGGGATTGGTTTGTAAAAACTCTCTTTTAGAATGTTATTTCTAAGTTTATTTGTTTCTTCAAATGCCTTTTAAGTCTTGGTAACATTCCCAAAGCAGAAAACTGCCTGACCCATAGTGGGGATTCCCCTGGAGAATGGGGGTCACAAGAAGGAATGCTGCCCTTCTCCCCTTTCTCCCCCCTTCGGTCCTGCCCCCTGCCTTGTACTGCTAGCTCCTTCCTTCTCCTCCTTTATCCTTCTTTCTCTTTTCCCCATCTCCACTCTCTCTTCAACCAAAGTTCCAAGGAACCCTGGGGTCCCCATCTCCCAGAGACTGCTTGGCTTGGGTCCATGGGTTTGGCACCAGTTGGTTGGGGGAAATAGGGGACCAGGTGACATGACTGGCCCTAAACCTCTTTCCAGAACCAAATCAGACCCTTTCAGAATGATGTCTTCATTGGAAAACGCAAATCAAACCATTCTGGGGCATTAGTGGCTCTTAGGCCTGCATGCACGAGACATCAGAATCCAATCCCCTGACCCTGTGCCAGCCCTTTCCCCCAGTTCATTTCCCACCAAAGGCTGACCTCTAAGAGGTCTTGCTTTCTATGAACTCAAAATGGGTCCCACCTCCAGGTGTCCCCAGGGGCACTCTTCTACCAGTTGGCTTCCCATGTGACAAGGTGAAAGGCCCAACAGCTTGACCCTCTGACACCCTGTGCTGACATGGCTCCATCACATCTACTGGGATGCACTTTTATAGTTTCATCACTCAGCCTCTTCTCCTCTGGCCTACCCAGCACCTAGGCTCTTTCTCCCCCTCCCCTCCTATCTAGAATGTCCCCTGCTTCTAGCCTCACCAGACCCTCAAGCTCCCACTACCTCTTCCTTAATAATAGTAATAATAATGGTTATCATCATCCCCTGCACATCCCGCCTAAAGCACTTTACTATTTAGAAATTGTTTCCCCTGGCTGGGCACGATGGATCACGCCTGTAATCCTAGCACTTTGGGAGGCCAAGGCAGGAGGATCACTTGAGGTCAGGAGTTCAAGACCAGCTTGGCCAAAGTGGTGAAACCCTGTCTCTACTAAAAATACAAAAATTTAGCTGAGCATGGTGGTGGGCCCCTGTAGTCCCAGCTACTCGGGAGGCTTGAGCCCAGGAGAAAGAGATGTCAGGAGCAGAGATCACACCATTGCACTCCAGCATGTGACAGAGTGAGACCCTGTCTCAAAAAAAAAAAAAAAAAGAAATAGTTTCCCACTCCACATCTCCTTCAGACTCTTGGGGACAACTCTGGGAGGCAGCCTTGGCAGGACGTGGGTTAGTGCGCCCATTTTACAGATGAGGAGACTGAGGTGCAGGTCTTATCCCAGAACATGAGAAGTCACTGAGTTTAGATAAGAACTTGAGTCCAACTCTCCTGTTTGCTGTGCAAATCCACTGCCCTACTGGGGGCTTTATGTGGGTCCAGAATACCCAGAATATGCTGCTGGCCAACCCAGGCATAAAACAAGACCATTACAGATCACTGAGCCTGTATATTCCAGAGGGTGATCCGAGCTCCCCATTCAGCAGAATTCTCTGAGAGCATGTTCAGAATGCAGATTCCTGGGCTCCACCCTGAATCTGCATGTTTAACAAACTCTCATGGGGAGGCCAGGCATGGTGGTCATACCTGTAATCTCAGCACTTTAGGAGGCCAAGGTGGGCGGATCATGAGGTCAGGAGTTTGAGAGCAGCGTGGCCAACATAGTGAAAACCTTTCTGTACTAAAAATGCAAAAAATTAGCTGGATGTGGTGGTGCATGCCTGTAATCCCAGCTACCTAGGAGGCTGAGGCAGAAGAATTGCTTGAATCCAGGAGGCAGAGGTTGCAATGAGCCAAGATTGCACCACTGCACCCCAGCCCAGGTGACAGTGCGAAACTCCATCTTAATAATAATACAATAAAATTTTTAAAAACAGCCTTCCCAGGGGGTCTTTGGCACTATTGGCCACACCATTGGTGTTCATGGCCCTGATTATTAGGCTGTCTTTATTTTTTTCTAATTTATTTTTAATTTATTTATTATTTATTTATTTTTTTTGAGAGACAGGGTTTGCCCTATGTTGTCCAGGCTGGTTTCAAAGTCCTGGGCTCAAGTGAAATGTCCTCTTCAGCCTCCCACAGTGCTGGGGTTACAGGCATCAGCCACCATGCCATCTTTTTTTTTTTTTTTTGAGACAGTCTCGCTTAGGCTGGAGTGCAGTGACACCTCTCGGCTCACTGCAACCTCCACCTTTCTGGTTCAGTCAGTTCTCCTGCCTCAGCCTCCCAAGTAACTGGGAATACAAGTGCACCCCACCACACTTGACTGATTTTTGTAGTTTTAGTAGAGACAGGTTTTCACCATGTTGGCCAGGTTGGTCTTGAACGCCTGACCTCAGGTGATCCACCTGCCTCGGCCTCCCAAAGTGCTGGGATTACAGGCATGAGCCACCGCATCCAGCCTCATCTATTAACCAATAACCATGATGCTGTATCTTTTTTTTTTTTTAAGATGGGGTTTCACCATGTTGGTCAGTCTGGTCTTGAACTCCCGACCTCAGGTGATCCACCCGCCTTTGCCTCCAAAGTGCTTGGATTACAGGCGTGAGCCACCATGCCCAGCCTGATGCTTGTATCTTAAGAGCACTGAGCACTGAACAGGGACTTAAGGGACCGAGTCCTCAACCAAACTGATTTGTTTAGTTACTCAGGATTTCCAAAAGGCATCAGAGGCATTTACAACCTTAGTCCTAGGGGTTCAGTAAAATAGAAAGTAAAAAAGCAAGACAAATTATTCTGTAAATTTAACTGGTATAATTCCCATAATCATGCAATTAAATTTTACTATTGAGTTTCCTGACAGCCATGGCAAAAAGAGAAACACATCAGGATTTAAAATTTTTCTCATCCAATTACGGGAAGCAAGCATGTTGCCCTCTTCTACTAATTTATAGCATATATCCTTTCATCAAGGGCCACTAAGCCAGTTGGTGATTCAGCGAGTGAACCTAAGATGCAAGGATGTTTTCCAGGTGACTATTTAAAAAAAATAAATAATCCACTGACGTGAATGATCTTGGTGAGATCATGTAGCTGGTCTATACCTCAGTTTCCCCATCTATAAGGTGGGGTAACATCCCACCCCATGTAGCTGTGGTGAGAACAAGCTGCAACACTGTGCCTACAAGTCTCCTTGGAAAAGTGTGAGGTTCTACACCAATGGAAAGTGGTCTGATCACACTCAGTGTCCTCAGCCCAGCCTTTCAGTGCCATGGCTGTGGGGTGGGGGACAATATCCTCCTTACGCCCTTCACTAGTCTTCATGAATAGCAAGGAGACCATAACATAATTTGGACCAAACCCCTTCCTTTTCAAAAAAAATTGTGAGGTCAGATGTAGTGGTTTATGCCTGTAATCCCAGCACTTTGGGAGGCTGAGGCAGGTGGATCACCTGAGATTGGGAATTTGAAACCAGCCTGACCAACATGGAGATACCCTATCTCTACTAAAAATAGAAAATTAGCCAGGTGTGGTGGCGCATGCCTGTAGTTCCAACTACTCTGGAGGCTGAGGCAGGAGAATCGCTTAAACCTGGCCTGGGCAAAATGAGCATAACAAAATTTACCATTTTAAACATTTCTAAGTGGCTTGATACATTCACAATGTGTAACCACCACGTCCAGAACTTTTTCATCATCCCAAACTGAAACTCTGTACCCACTAAACAATAACTCCCCATTCCCCCAGCCCCTGGTAACCTCTATTCTACTTTTTTTTCTCTGTGGATTGGCCTCCACTAAATATTTCTTGTAAGTAGAATCATATAGTATTTGTCCTTTTGTGTCCAGCCCACTCATTTTTTTTAGATAAGGAATCAGGCCCAGAGAAGGCAGTAGCTAACCCAAGGTCGCACAGCAAACCAAAGGCAGAACCAAGACCAGAACCCAGGTTTCCTGACTCCCAGCAGTTCTTGCATCCCCAGTAGTGAAGGAGACACTGCTTTGACTTTCTGAAATCTTGGTTTAGCCCCTTCCTCTCTGGGGTCAATCTGTTTGCCTCCCAGCACCCACCCATCCTTTCTTTATCCTCTGCCTCCAGAGCCTCCTGTCTTCCTGCCTCCTCTTCTCCTTGGCTGGTTCCTGCCAGCAGATGGAGTGGCCCTGGCCCATGCCAGGTTTTCCTTTTCTGGGCCCTGGCTCACTGTAGCAGTCAGCTCTCAGTCCTCCAAGGATGTTCTTCCCAGCACTGCTCCCTCCTATGGATTTTCCTGCACCTCAGTAACTCATTTCCTGTCCCCCTGCTTCCTATCAGGGAAGCCTTCCTGTCCACATCTGTGGTTTCCAAACTCTGATATTTACTCTCAAATGTGGTGGTGTCCTGGTTCTGCTGTTCTCACACCAGAAAAAAAAAGAACAAAAAACCCTCTTCCCCCAGTGCATCAGGAGGCACCAGCCCTGCCAGCCCTTCTCATTGGGCTTGCCCTGCCTCAGCGACCCCCAAGTCCCACCCTTGATCCACGCTGTCTTCTCTGCAGGCAGCCTGCCAGCAGCAGCCCCAGCACTTTGCACTGGGTGTGTGTGTGGTGGTAGGGGTGGGGGGGGGTGGATCCCTTCTTTTCCTCCTCTGCTTTACCTAGTCCCAGATAGCCTTGATTGTAAAGCAGGTGCTGCCTGACGGGTTCTTCTCTCCCTCTCTCTGGTCATCTATCCATCTCTATCCATTCAGTATCCAACCATCCTTTCCATGTACCTCTGGACCTCACCACCCTCAGAGTTGCTTGTCCTGGCAGAATCTACAGTTCATCCAGACTCTACCCCTTGCCCCTCCCAACCCAACAGCAGTTGCAGTTTGCAGAATCCATAGATCCAAGGTCCTAAGGGGACTGAGGACATGATGCTGGGCTCAAGTCTCCTGCCTAGGGCTCCTCTCCACTGCCAGCCCTGCCACTCCTCCCTCATCCTCCTTGGAGCCTCCTCTGCTCCTTGTCTATCCCATTGGCCCTGCTCCCCTCCCTCCCTGCCCTTCACCAGCTTTCTGGACACCATGCCCTGAGGAAGGGACCTTTGGTTTTCTCTAAACATCTTTGAAGGGCTGAGGCAGTCAGGGCCAGCTGCCTTGTCTCTCTTTATTCGGAACCACTCAAGCCATTCCCAAAAAGAGGGACCTCAGCTGGCAATCTGGAGACCTGGCCCAGGTCTGGGCAGATGTTTTCACTTCTCCCGCCCTCCCAGTCCTGTGATCCTGTGATGAGCACCAGGATGGCCCTGTGGGCCCTAGAGCACCCCCTCATGCTGTAGGGTCCTGCAGCCCCATCCTTTCTCTACTGTGCCCTGGTATCCTGGCTCCTCTCTCAGCTCTATTGCTGATCTCTGTGCCTTACTTTAGTTCTCTGCACGGGGGACTCACCCCAGGACCATTCCCATCGGCTTCCCAGGTGATATGTTGCCCCAAGGCTGGGCTTTGCCAGCTGTGGCCCAGCTCCTTAGTGCTGCCCAAGAGGCACCAGGTTGCTAAGGTTGAGTGACTGTGGGCACCGTTCTTGGCCAGTGGTTCTCATTTTGCCTTCCAGCAGTGGGAATATCACCTGGGAACTTGATAGAAGTGCAAATTATCGGCCCCACCCAAGACCCACTGAATTAGAGCTTGTGGAGTGGGGCCCTGCAAGCTGGGGTTTGAAGGAGCCCTCCAGATGGTTCCGACATGCACAAGAATATGCCAGCTGCCGATCTGGGCTAGCCATTAGTGTAGCCTGGGGAGGGACTGGGGCTGACTAGGCCAAGAACAGGTGGAAAACAGCAGCCTCGTCTGGAATCCTGAGATTGCGAATCACCACCAACAAAAACCAACTCTGTAGTCTCTCCTCTTGGAAAAGGAAGAGAAGCTGGAGGGCCTGGAGAAAGCATACGTTTTTCCTTTCCCTGATCCTGCTCACTTCTCTCACTTGTCTTGGTTTTACAAAAGGCTGTGTAGATGGTGCCCACCAGGGAGGGGGTGGGTGTCCTGGGGAGGCAGGACGAAGAAGACCTTGACTGTTTATCCTTTGGGAACCTCACCATAGGCCAGATGGTCCCTCCTCAAATGCAAAGAAATCTAACTCCATCAGGAAAGAATCCTAAATCCCCAGTTCCTCCTCCTCCCAACCCCAGGGAGACCTTGTAGACAGTGCCAAAAAACAGCTCCAACCTCCAGCAGCTGGGAAGAGAGCCAGAAGCTGCCCTTCCTCTTCATCCTGGCGCCCCTCCCCAGCCCCCGCCAATACTGTGAACCCCCTTCCCACTCAGCCTGGTTTCCTGGTGAGGGTCCTGCAATCATGGGCCCTGGGGGACCCCCAGGGCAAGGCCCATGGGAGGGAAGGGACCAAGGGCATCCTTGGGCCAACTGTCCACCTCTCTTGTCCACTGTTCTCTCCTTTACACTTCTGTCTTCAAAAGGCTCCTTCCCAGGATGGATCGGGTGCTAGGACAACTGCGGTCCAGTCCACCAGCTCTCCCTGCTCTGTGTCTTATTTCAGACATAAGAATAACTGTACAGTGTAAACTTATAAAGCGTTTTTAATGGTTGTAGATTGGAAATAAAGTATGTCATATGAACAGCTGCCGTGGACTTGGCCTCCTCTCTGATTTTTCTAATGAGGTGGTTGGGGGCCCCAGCAAATTTGAAACCCAACTCTTTCCCACTCCTCGTTGCCTGGGAAGTGGGGAGCCCTGGAAGGGCCCCAGCCAGCTTGGGGTCACTTGGGAGGGGCTACCAGGTGTTCTGGCTGCTGCCTGCTGATACATCAGTGTCTCCCACAAAGTGTGATATGACCACTGAGAAACAAATACAGAATCTTCAGAAAGAAGAAAAATAGAACTGAACTTTTCTACAAAAGACTTCGACAATTTTATCATGAAAAAAAAGACACTTAAATGTGCATCAATTGTCTATTATTCCAAAACATTTCTTACACCCCACAGATGCTATGGGTCAGGAATTGGGAGCTTGGTAGTTGTGCTTCAAAGTCTCAGGAGGCTACAGTCATTTGAATACCTGACTGGGGCTGGAAGAGCCATTTGCAAAGTAGCTAATTCTCATGCCTGGCAAGTCAGTGCTGGCTGTTGGCAGAAGGCCTCAGTTCCTGACCATGTGGACCTCTAGGGCTACTCATGTGTCTTCACAACATGGCCAAGCATTTGATCTATGAGAAAGCAGGGAGGACGTCACAATGTCTTTTATAGCTAAACCTTGAAAGTCACAGACTAGGCTGGGTGCAGTGGCTCATGCCTGTAATCCCATCACTTTGGGAGGCCAAGGCCGGCAGATCACCTGAGGTTGGGAGTTTGACAGCAGCCTGACAAACATGGAGAAACCCTCCACTAAAAATACAAAATTAGCAGGACGTGGTGGTGCACGCATATACCCGGGATGCTGAGGCAGGAGAATCGCTTGAACCTGGGAGATGGAGGTTGCAGTGAGCTGAGATTGCACCATTGCACTCCAGCCTGGGCAACAAGAGCAAAACTCTGTCAAGACATAAAAAGAGAGAGAGGAGAGCCACAGACTATAATTTCTGCAATATCTAGTTGGTAATATAGACCAGCATTCTTCAGTGTGGGAGGGGACTACACAAGGCCATGAACACCAGGAAGCAGGGATCACTGGGGGCCATCTTGGAAGCTGGCTACATGATACTGTCATAAATCTCTTTTATGAGGGGCTAACAGCCAGGCATGTGCTAGGTATTGAGGATATAATAGAATGACCTGGAAGAAGATTTAAAATCAAATGGCAATGGCAAGGGGAGCCCAGGGTGCTCGGCAGACCCAGAGAAAACAAGAAACGCTTCACAGAGGAAAGGACATCTGAATGACACCTAAGGTTGAGATGTTGACCAAATGAAGGCCATGGTGTTGTAGGCAGGAAACTGAGGGGAAGCCATTCCAGGGAGAGGGAATAGCATATATGAAAGCCTCGTAGAAAGAGAGCAGAGCAGCCGGCACAGTGACTCACACCTGCAATCCCAGCACTTTGGGAGGCTGAGGCTAGTGGATCACTAGAGGTCAGGAGTTCAAGACCAGCCTGGCCAACATGACGAAGCCCCATCTCTACTAAAAATACAAAAATTAGCCAGGCGTGATAGCTTGCCTCTAATCCTAGCTACCTGGGAGGCTGAGGCAGGAGAATTGCTTGAACCTGGGAGGCAGAGGTTGCAGTGAGCTGAGATCGTGCCATTGCACTCCAGCCTGGGTGACAGAACAAGACTCAAAAAAACAAAAAAGCAGAGCAGAACTGGGGAACTGAAAGAAGAGGCTGGGTCAGATCACACAGTGCCCTTTTTCTTTTCTTTTTTTTTTTGAGACAGAGTCTCACCAGGCACCAGGCTGGAGTGCAGTGGCACAGTCTCGGCTCACTGCACCCTCCGCCTCCCGGGTTCAAGCAATTCTCCTGCCTCAGCCTCCCGAGTAGCTAGGACTACAGACGTGTGCCACTATGCCCAGCTAATTTTTTGTATTTTTAGTAGAGACGGGGTTTCACCATGTTGGCCAGGATGGTCTTGATCTCTTGACCTTATGATCCACCCGCCTCGGCCTCCCAAAGTGCTGGGATTCTTTTTCTTTTTTGTTGAGATGGAGTCTTGCTCTGTTTCCCAGACTGGAGTACAGTGGCATGATCTCAGCTCTGCAACCCGTGCCTCCTGGGTTCAAGCACTTCTCCTGCCTCAGCCTCTCGATTAGAGGGGATTACCGGTGCACACCACCACGCCCATCTAATTTTTGTATTTTTAGTAGAGACGGGGTTTTGCCAAGTTGGCCAGGCTGGTCTTGAACTCCTTACCTCAAGTGAACCTGACCCACTGGCCACAGCCTCCCAAACTGTTGGGATTACAGGCATGAGCCACCATACCTGGCCTGATGACACAGTACCTTATAGGGAAAAAAAAAAAGTGCCTGCTGGGGACAGGAGGGAGCCATGTAACAATTCAAAGCAGGAACATGATGTAGAAGATGTATTGGATCTGGATTCCATGAAGTAATATTCTCAGTGTGCCCCAGCATGGCCAGCCCTAGCTGGGAACAGAGTTCTCTTCCTGGCACACTGACAGAAAGGAGTTTAAGAGGCAGACAAGCATAAAAGAAACTGGGTATCTCTCAACCCTAGAAAGTGATATTCAGGGAGCCAAAGGCAAATCTCTACTTTCAGAATGGCTGCTGTAACCAGCAGGCTGGAACCACAGAGTGGAAATTTCAGGAAGGCAGATTTTTGTCTCCCACCAGAAAACTTTTCCAAGGACCACAACTGTTATGGAAGAATGACCACAGTCAGCTCCAGCTGCCTCTCTCCAACCCCTCTTTTGGACTTTGTGGACTGCTTATAATTTAACATTTGGAGGTTTCCCTGTGGAAAGGACTGTGCACATCCGAGGGAACATTTTGGTGGTGCCATGCTGGGTGCTAAGGAAGCAGCCCGCTCCCTGAAGCCTCCCAGGCCAGCATGGGATAGTGGAGCAGGCACAGATTGGGCGCTTGGGAGCACAGAAAGGACAGTTGGTTTTCAGCCTGGGGACACAGAGAAGGCTCCGAGAGAAATCATTCCTTAGCTGAGGCTTCGAGTCAAAGGATGTGGCTGGGTGCAGTGGCTCTTGCCTGTAATCCCAGCACTTTGGGAGGCTGAGGTGGGTGGATGACCTGAGGTCAAAAGTTTGAGACCAGCCTGGCCAACATGGTAAAACCCCGTCTTTACTAAAAATACAAAAATTAGCCCGGCATGGTGGTGGGTGCCTGTAATCCCAGCTACCGGGGAGGCTGTGGCAGGAGAATCGCTTCAACCTGGGAGGCAGAGGTTCCCTGAGCCAAGATTGCGCAACTGCACTCCAGCCTGGGCGACAAAGCGAGACTCCGTGTCAAAAAAACCAAAAAAAAAAATGGACGATGTTGCTAGGAAAAGCTCCTTCCCAGGCAGAGCAGCTTGAGTCAAGCCAGCAGTTTGAGGGGGTAGCCTGGAAATGAGAGGAAACGTCCTAGAGCAGGAGGATAGGCTGTGAGGCAAACTGAACTCAGAGCTCCAGTCCAACCTGGGGAGAATCATGGTCCGCATTTTGGGAGTTAAGGAGATCAAGGGAGTGGGAACTAGAGCCTAGCGACCGGGGCCGGGCATCAGATGCCCTTTGAGGCACTATATTCCTTCGGCAAGAATCTCTCTGGGCCTCTGTTTCCCCCATCTTGGATGGGCTCTGGGGCCGTCGGGGGCAAAAGGACACGAGAGCTTGGCGGGTCCCGGAAAGGGACTCCCGGGCGGGGTGTTGAGTGGAGGTGGTGAGGTGGCCGGACAGGGCGCGAAACGAGGACTTGGAAAAGAGGGGCGGGGCTGCCAGGAGCCTTGGACTGCGGTGTACGCATGCGCATCGCCGGAGAGGCAGGCGTTCTGCGCGCGCGTGCCCGAGAAGCAGATGGTCGCGCATGCGCCCTTGGTTGGCGGGAGTTTTGGAGGCGGTAACCGTGACGTAGAAGGCGGGCGAACCGCTTGACCCTGACGGGAAGATCGGCTGCTGCGGTGCAAGGGGGTCCAGGAGTGACCTAGGGCTGTGGGAAGCGACCCGTGGCCTTGTGCTTCAGGGACGGAGGCTCCGGACTCGACGGGCGTCGCTCTGAGGTTAGGAAGTCACAGACTTGTCCCCTGATGTAGCTCCGCCCACCGCCGCACCGCTCTTTGGCTTCGTACCCCTCGGCCCAGCCCCACCCGCCACACCCCACGGCCCCAACCGTGGACGCTGGGGAGCCCCCGGGGCGCAGGGACCTCCTCCCGGGTGAAATGAAACCCGAGGGCAGCACCCCCCCCCCCCCCACCGCCACCAACTCCATTAGAGACTTATCTGCCGAGCCGGGGGTCTAGGCTCCAGAAAGGGGTTGAGAGGACTGGGCAGAGGGCCGGGGGGACAGGTCTGGGTTCGAATTTCCCCTCTGCTTCCAGGCTGGCCGTGTCACAAGCTGGGGCCAGGCTTTTTGCCCCTCTGAACCACAGTTCCCCTGTCTGAAAAGTGGAGTTAATGGTGCTCACGGAGTTGTGGAAAGGGTCAAAGGGAGTAATGTTGCAAGTAAAGCGCTTACACAGCCCGGGTCCTGGCAGGGAATCCGCGTTTAACAGGCGACAGTGCTTTGCTGCTTCACGCCTGGATCCGTGTAATAGCGTCCTTATTACCACGCTTGGATCTGTATGATACGGTTGTGATTATCCAAGCTTGGAACTGTGGAGTACAGTCGTAAGGACCGCGGGGGAGTCGGATCCCCTCCTGGTTATCTTTTCCGGTTTGTCCCTCTGCATATATTCGTATCTTTTTTACTTCGCACCCCCGCGCAGACAAGACTTCTGCTCGGAGTCAGGGATACCATGGGAAATGCAGAGATGCCCAAGTCACGTCCCTGACTTCTTCCAGTTAGGGGTTCGTGACGGGCACTAGGAATACAAATACAGACAGACATGTAAACCGATTTTACAGCCAGTGCTAAGAAGACCAAGGGGCGTAGCCACCAATTCTGCCAACGTGATGTGAAAGCTTCATCATATTTGAGCTAGGTTGGGAAGGATGTGTAAGTTTAACAAGCAGAAGGACTGATAGGTGCAAAGATTGAGAAGTAGTACAGGGAATAGGAGTGGGAGGAGAAAGCAGGAATGGGTAGATTGGGACTAGTTTATCTAAGGTGTTGAGTACACTTTGGAAAAGAATAGACTGGGCTGGGTGCGGTGGCTCAGGCCTGTAATCCCAGCACTTTGGGAGGCCGAGGTGGGCGGATCACCTGAGGTCAGGAGTTTGAGACCAGGCTGGCCAACATGGGGAAACCCCGTCTCTGCCAAAAAATACAAAAATTAGTGGGTGTGGTGGCGGATGCCTGTAATCCCAGCTCTTCAGGAGGCTGAGGCAGGAGAATTGCTTGAACCTGGGAAGTAGAGGTTGCAGTGAGCCGAGATTGTGCCCTTACACTCCAGCCTGGGTGACAGAGTGAGACTCTGCCTCAAAAAAAAAAAAAGTAGACTGGAGGGGGCAGTTGGAGGTAGGAAAACTAGTGGAGAGACCGTTAGATAGTGGGAGGGGACACCACAAATTATGAGACCTTTAGTAGACTAGTAACAGTGAAGCTGGGCGTGGTGGCTTCCGCCTGTAATCCCAGACTTTGGGAGGCCTAGGATCACTTGAGGCCAGGAGTTTGAGACCAGCCTGGCCACCAAGGGGAAATCTGTCTCTACCAAAAATGCAAAAATTAGCCAGGCGTGGTGGTGCACGCCTGTAATCCCACCTATTGGGAAGGCTGAGGCAGGAGAATCACTTGAACCAGGGAGAAGGAGGTTGCAGTCAGCCAACATTGCGCCACTGCACTGGGCAACAGAGTGAGACCCTGTCTCAAAATAATAAATAAACAAACTAGTAACAGTGAGAATGGAGAAAAGATTTAGAGATTGTTTATAGAACAGTTAGGATTTTGGATCTGGAGAACTAAATAAGAAGTAAAGGATGGTGTGGTTTTTCTAGTTTGAAAGATGAAGTAGACCATAATGTCATCAATGGAATTAGGGACTAGTTAAACACAAAGTAATTGGGAAGTAAGGTAGGGTGTTTGTTAAGGGAGATTTGAATATTTCTACCAACAAGGTGTATAGAAATTCAGAAGAGGAGATAATGGCCCCCGCTGATATTCTTTGTCAGGGAGGTGGATAAGGGCAGTTCAGAGAGGCTGGAAAGCACAAGGCCTATTCTGGGGCAGTAAAACCCCACTGAGACTGCAGCTGAAATGTGAAGAACAGATCCCTTCATTTTCCTATTTTCAGAATTCACTACCTAGGATGACTTCAGTGACTAGATTAGAGATCATAGATGGTAAGTATTGTAGTGAAATTCAGTACCTCTTACCCTGGGTTCAGGCTTCTGAGCTATACTCAAATTTTTCCTGGCTCCTGGTGGATTTGGAGTCACATATTCATTATTTGCATAGATGCTTTCTTAATGTTTCCACGATCTGCGGGCATATATTTACTTTTTCCTCTTTTTAGCACAAATAGTTGTGGTGGGTTTGATTTTGTATTTTGACTTTTTTATAACAAATGCTAGAAAAAGGACCAGTGATGTCTAAGACTCATGATCATCAATTGGAATCAAGTCTCAGCCCTGTGGAAGTGTTTACTAAGACATCTGACTCCCTGGAGATGCATCAAGGCGTTTCAGAGGAAAGAATTCACCTTGGCTCTAGCCCTAAAAAAGGGGAAAATTATGATCTCAGCCACGAGGAAAGATTTCACTTGGGGTCCCCTCAAGAACAATTTGCCAGTTATCAAGACAGGAGGCAATCCTGGCGGCGAGCAAGTATGAAAGAAACGAACCGGCGGAAGTCACTGCATCCCATTCACCAGGGCATCACAGGTGGGGTGCTGGGAACACAGGACAGTGAGGTTCCAGCTCAAATAAGAGACAGTGAGGTTCCAGCTCAGATAAGAGGCAGTGAGGTATGGCAGAAAGTGTAGTTGAATAGACATGACTTGCTACTTTATAAGTACTTATGTCAAATATCTAGTAAATGTTCAGCATTACTGCTATGCTTTTTTAAGAGACAGGATATTGCCATGTTGCCCAGGCTGGATTTGAAATCCTGGGCTCAAGCAATCCTCCCACTTCAGCCTCCCAAGTAGCTGGGACTACAGGTGTGAGCCACTGCACCTGGCTTACTATTTATTACTTATTATTAGAAATTTATTTACAAATAAATTTCTAATTGTTCAGTACTTACCTCTGCTAGGATGAGAGACATTAAAGATTTCTTCCTGCAGTTTTCTGTCTCATACTCTAAAGTGAAACAGAAGTTAGTTGGGTTGATACCTGATTTTAACCTTTATAACTAGAAATATCTCGGAGGATGCACATACAAATATCTAGAGTGGGCAGTGTCTCATGCCTGTAATCCCAGCACTCTGGGGGGCCAAGGCAGGAGGATCACTTGAGCCCAGGAGTTTGAGAACAGCCTAGGCAAGATGGCGAGCCCCATCTCTACAAAAAGTTTTTTAAAAAAAATAGCAAGGCATGGTAGCATGTACCTGTAGTCCCAGCTACTGCAGACAGGCTGAGGCAAGAAGATCGCTTGAGCCCAGGAATTGAAGATAGCAGTGAGCTATGACTGCCACTGCACTTCATCCTGGGTGAAAAAGTGAGACCCCTGTCTCTAAAAAACTTTTGTCTCTTTCTCCCTACCCCCTCTCTCCTCCCTCCCCACTTCCTTTCTGTGTGTGCGTGTGTGTGCACGTGTGTGTGTGCATGCGCTTGTAACTGGAGTGAAAAACTTAGTTTTTAGGGATGCTATACAGAACGATTTGTGTTATTTTGTGTGACTTTACAATAGTAACTATATCTTAGTAAGCATCTAAGTACAGAATATAACATGGAAAGGCTTCCATATTTCAGGAAGACTATACTAGCTCTGTGATCTTGAGTAAATTACTTAACCTTCTTTGCCTTAAGGTCCTCATCGGCAACTTGGGGGTGAAATAATACCTATCTTACATAACACAGTGCTTGGCACATAATAAGCCCTGAAATGTTAAGCCATTGTGATTCGTTTTAAGGTATTTCATTTTCAAGTGGTCTGATGCATAGAAAGAAATCTGGGTAAAAATAGCCACATCAGAAAATTGCTGCCACAAAGCTCGTGTACTCTATTCCCTAGATGTGCTGAGAAAACAGTGCATCCCCGAAGTTAGCCCTACCTTTAGCTCTATGCCAGAGCATTTAGACTTAAATGGAAAGGCACCGGCCGGGCACAGTGGCTCATGCCTGTAATCCCAGTACTTTGGGAGGCTGAGGTGGAGGCTGAGGCGGGCGGATCACCTCAGCCTCCCAAAGTCAGGAGTTCAAGACTTGCCTGGCCAACATGGTGAAACCCTGTCTCTACTAAAAATATAAAAATTAGCTGGATGTGGTGGCATGTGCCTGTAATCCCAGGTACTCTGGAGGCTGAGACAGGAGAATTGCTTGAACCTGAGAGACAGAGGTTGCAGTGAGCTAAGAACACTCCATTGCCCTCCAGCCTGAGCGTCTGAGCGAGACTCCAACTCAAATAAATAAATAAATAAACAGAAAGGCACCAGTGTAATAAGATTGGTTATTGCCTGGTTATTTCTGACAACCTGCCAGGTTTCCTTGGTTATAGGCAGAAAGTATCCTGTTTTTCTTGGTAATAGCAGTGACAATCAAGAGAAGAGACGAGAACTTTAAAAACACAACCAGCTGAAGCTAGAGGGCAAAAAGAAACGTAGTTCTCATAATTCACAAAACAAACTTCCTTTGCTATGTAATAATTGTTTTCAAGTGGACATAATTTTAAAAAAAACAGTGTTTACATCTTGCAGTTGGTTAGGGATTTAGTTGCATAATTATGTAAAATACCCAATTCAGTCTAATAACTCACTGTATGACCTTGGGCAAGTTACCTATTACTGTACAGCCTTTGTGCTTATGTCATTATCTGTCATCAGAATGGAATTCATAGGATATTTGCCTCAAGGTTTAATGAAGTATGTATATAGCATTTCACAAAATATATAGCAAGTGTTCAACAAATGTTAACTATTAATGCTATTGTTAGGTCATTATAGAGAGGCATTGTGGTAATAGTGGGAAAAACACAGATATTGGTGACAGACTTGGGTTTGAATTCTGGCTCCACCAATTTCTAGCCTCAAATAAGTCATTTCCCCTCAGAGCTGCAGTTTTCCCATTTGTAAAATGGAACCTTATAATAGTACTCGTCTTATAGTATACATTACAAAGTGTTTAAAGCACATTTCAGTGCCTGTCCTATTAAAATACTCAAATGTGGCCAGGTACGGTGGCGCACACCTGTAATCAGAGCACTTTGGAAGGCCAAGGCAGGCAGATCACTTGAGGCCAGGATCTCAAGACCAGCCTGGCCAACATGGAGAAATTCTATCTCTACTAAAAATGCATATAGTCCCAGCTACTGCAACCTCTTGGCTCACTGCAGCCTCTGCCTCCTGGGCCCTTGTGATTCTTGTGCCTCAGCCTTTGGAGTAGCTGGGATTATAGGTGCATGCCACTAAGCCCGGCTAATTTTTCTATTTTTAGTAGCGATGGGGTTACACCACGTTGGCCAGGCTGGTCTCCAGTTCCCCGTCTCAAGCAATCTGCTGCCTCGGTCCCAGAGTGCTGGAACTATAGGCATGAGCCACCATACCCGGACAATACAAAGATTCTTATAACTTTTTTTTGAGACAGAGTCCCACTCTGTCACCTAGGCTTGAGTACAGTGGCACGATCTGGGCTCACTACAGCCTCTTCCTCCTGGATTCAAGCGATTTTTCTGCCTGAGCCTCCCAAGTAGCTGGGATTACAGGTGCCCGAACCATGCCTGGCTATTTTTTGTATTTTTAGTAGAGACAACGTTTCACCATGTTGGCCAGGCTGATCTCCAACTTTTGACCTCAGGTCATCCACCCACCTAGGCCTCTCAAAGTGCTGGGATTACAGGTGTGAGCTACTGTGTCCAGATAACTTTTTTTTTAAGTTTGAATGCACAAATGGGTAAACTTCATTCCTTAGTGATCCTGGAAAAATTAGAATTGTCTCTTAAACCAGAAAAGGCTGTTCTTGCCTTAAGTTCGATTTATTAAGAGGGAGGAAATTTTTCAGTTTTGTTAGTTGCAAACTATGTAACTGTCCAGCTCCTTAAATGTGGCAATGTTTTATGTTAGAGCTCAGCAGGTCTATCAGTCTCGATTTAGCAGAAAGCAAACGGCTTGGCTCTCTCCTGCTTTCCAGTTTCCAGGTGAGATTCTTAGAACTGGGAAATGTTTTTGTGGGCATTAACTGCTATTATGACAATCTTAAAGAGATATCAATACTGCGTAATTAACCTATTAAGATGAAAAGATGTTTCTCTCTGGGTAGGATTAGTTTGAAAGCCAGATTTAGATCAATTAGCCGATTTCTCTCTGGACTAGGCTCTGTACCAACCCCATTGGTGCTGGTGTTGCTAACCAAGTAGGTAACAGGGATTTCCCCAGTAGTCTCTTTTGCCCATGGCAGCAAATTATAGGGGTTTCAAATGGGTAGAGGTAAGAATCTAAGTTGTGATGGGACATTTGAGTTCTGACTGTACTAAATCAATATATTACCCATGTTATATATTTCTTTTTATTTTTATTTTTGAGATGGAGTTTCACTATTATTACCCAGACTGGAGTGCAGTGGCACGATCTCGGCTCACCGCAAGCTCTGCCTCCTGGGTTCAAGCAGTTCTCCAGCCTCAGCCTCCCAAGTAGCTGGGACTACAGGCACGCACCACCGTGCCCAGCTAATTTTTGTATTTTTAGTAGAGACAGGGTTTCACCTTGTTGACCAGTATGGTCTCGATCTCTTGACCTCGTGATCCACCCGCCTCGGCCTCCCAAAGTGCTGGGATTATAGGCGTGAGCCACCGCGCCCGGCCACTATATAGTTTTTTTTTTAAGTTACATTTTTATGTACTTATTATGTGGCTAACAGGTACATACATCAGTTTAGATGAGCAGGTAATTTTTGTGAATTAAATAACAATTTATTTTCCTGAACCAAAAGTCAAAATGTATAGTCCAAGCAACAAAGTTTTTTTTGTTTTTGTTTTTGTTTTTTCCGAGACGCAGTTTTGCTCTATCACCAGGCTGGAGTGCAGTGGTGTGATCTCAGCTTACTGCAGCCTCCGCTTCCCAGGGTCAGGTGATTCTCCTGCCTCAACCTCCCGAGTAGCTGATGCGTCACCATGCCTGGCTAATTTTTTTGTTTGTTTTTAGTAGAGACGGGGTTTCACCATGTTAGCCAGGATGGTCTTGATCTCTTGACCTCGTGATCCACACACCTTGGCCTCCCAAAGTGCTGGGATTACAGGCGTGAGCCACCATGCCCAGCCAATGAAAGGTTTTTTTTTTCTTGATCTTTTTATTCGTTTATGTGAAGAGTCCTAGGTATAAAAATTAAATCAATTTTAGTTAGTTTCACATTTATTAAACATCATAAGTTGACATAAATTTAGGACTGGCCTGGAAATTTTTGGTCATTGTACTAAAAATGCTTTTCTTTATTAAGTTCTCTGTTCAGAAACTTGAACCTTTCCTAAGAGACACTAAGGGCTTCAGCCTTGAAAGTTTCAGAGCCAAAGGTAAGTTGCTAACAGAAAAGTGAGCTTTTACACTGGGCAGTCAAAACTTCACTCACAGTATCCCCGTTTAGAGAAGCTGCTGCCTCATAAAACTAGCTCCCCCACCTTTTTTTTTTTTTAAGACAGAGTTTTACTCTGTTGCCCAGGCTGGAGTGCAGTGGGGTGATCTCAGCTCACTGCAATGTCTGCCTCCCGGGTTCAAGCGATTCTCTTGCCTGAGCCTCCTGACGCACGCCACCACGCCTGGATAATTTTTGTGTTTTGTTTTGTTTTGACTTGAGACGGTCTCGCCCTGTCGCCCAGGCTGGAGTGCTATGGGATGTTGTCGGCTCACTGCAGCTTCCACCTCCTGGGTTCAAGTGATTCTCCTGACTCAGTCTCCCAAGTAGCTGGGATTGCAGGTGCACAGTGGGCCCAGCTAATTTTTGTACATTTTAGTAGAGATGAGGTTTCACCATTTTGGCCAGTCTGGTCTCGAACCTTGACCTCCTAAAGTGCTGGGATTACAGGTGTGAGCCACCAAGGCCTGGCCCCTTGTTCATTTTTAAAAATCAGGATTTTTTTTTTTTTTTTGAGAAGGAGTCTTGCTCTGTCACCAGGCTGGAGTACAGTGGTGGGATCTCAGCTCACCGCAGCCTCTGCTCCCCGGGTTGAAACAATTCTGCCTTAGCCTCCCGAGTAGCTGGGACTAGAGGTGCATGCCACCACACCCGGCTAATTTTTGTATTTTTAGTAGAGACAGGGTTTCACTGTGTTGGCCAGGATGGTCTTGATCTCTTGACTTCGTGATCTACCCGCCTCATCCTCCCAAAGTGCTGGGATTACAGGTGTGAGCCACTTCACCCAGCAGGAACTCTTTATATTACGAGGAAATTAGCTGTTTGTCTGTGAAATAAATTACTAATGATTCATCTTTCTAGGAAGTACCTATTCTGCTAATAGTGTAAATATACAGTTATCCAGGGTCAGAAATACTCAAGTTTACCCACTTAAAAGATCTAGAAAATATATGAACTTAGGTTTACTTGCTAGTTAAAATTGTTTATCTCAGAATTTTACCATCAACTTAATTAAAATATCTATGCTAGGATTATCTTGATAACTAATTAACATAGCCATTTCCCTCTGCATTCTTTACTTGAATGTAGTAGTGGACCCTTCAAGTCTAACAGAGGCCTGTTTTCAACCTTATGCCCCTAATTTTTTTTTTTTTGAGACAGGGTCTTGCTCTGTTGCCCCGGCTGGAGTGCAGTGGCATGATCACAGGTCACTGTAGCCTTGATCTCTTGGGCTCAAGCATTTCTCCCTCTTCAGCCTCCCAAGTAGCTGGAACCACAGGCATGTGCCACCACACCTGGCTCACTTTCTAAAAAAAAATGTTTTTATAGAGATGGGGTCTTGCCATATTGCCCAGGCTGGTCTTAAACTCCTAGGCTCAAGTGAAACTCCCACCTAAGCCTCCCAAAGTTCTGGAATTATGGCAGTGAGACACTGTCCCTTGCCTTTTTGGTTTTCTTTTTTTAATAAAGAGATGGGGTTTCACTATGTTGCTCAGGCTGTTCTAGGCTCAAGCAGTCCTCCTGCCTTAGCCTCCTAATTAGCCGGGGCTACAAGCACATGCCACTATGCCCGGCTATGCCCATAATTTTTTATTTGCCTTTAGTGTTTCTTATTACCTTCTTGCCTATTGCCTGACCGTTTTTTTTGTTTGTTTGTTTGTTTTTGAGGCAGAGTCTCACTCTTGCCCAGGTTGAAATACAGTGGCACCATCCCAGCTCACTGCAACCTCTGCTTCCCAGGTTCAAGTGATTCTCCTGCCTCAGCCTCCCGAGTAGCTGGGATTACAGGCGTGCACCACCACTCCTGGATAGTTTCCTATTTTTAGTAGAGACAGGGTCTCATCATTTTGGCCCAGACTGGTCTTGAACTCTTGACCTCAAGTGATCCACCTGACTTGGCCTCCCAAGGTGCTGGAATTTTAGGTGTGAGCTACCATGCCCAGCCCCAGATATACTTTAAACTGCTTTTTCACAGGTCATTTATAGAAACATTTATCATAACTGTCATAAAACCTGGACACAGTGGCTTATGCCTATAATCCCAGGACTTTGGGAGGCTGAGGCGGGCGAATCACTTGAGCCCAGGAGTTGGAAACAAGCCTGGGCAACATGGGGAACCCCATCTCTACAAAAAATACAGAAATTTGCTGGACATGGTCGTGCCGACTGTCTTCCCAGCAAATAGGGAGACTGAGGTGGGGGTATTGCTTGAGCCCAGGAGGTGGAAGTTGCAGTGAGCTGAGATCATACCACTGCACTCCAGCCTAGGTGACAGAGCAAGAGTCTCTCTAAATAAATAAATAAATAAAAATGAGTTGTCTTTCATTTTATCTATACCTACCAGAGAAAAAAAACATAAAATTTTTCTACATACTTACTCCACATTTTTGGGTAGGCTCGAGGACCAACATGTAACAGCAGACCATAGAGCTGAGACTACCTTAAGTATATTATATCTTTGTCAGCATCTCACTGTGAAAACCTATATTATCTTTATGACACATAAATTTGTTCTGTCTAGCATCTTCTCTTTCTGAAGAATTGAAACATTTTGCAGACAGACTGGAAACTGACGGAACTCTACAAAAATGTTTCGAAGATTCAAATGGGTAAGAGCAGTTCCCCTTCTATTCTAAATTATGACTGAATTAGAACTTTTGTTATATTATAGTTGTTCATTCATCAGCAAACATTTATTCAGCATCTTCTCTTTATATTTATTTAATTTTTATTTTTATTTTTTGAGATGGAGTCTTGCTCTGTCCCCCAGGATGGAGTGCAATGGCATGATCTCAGCTACTGCAACTTCAGCCTCCCAGGTAGTTTGTATTAGAGGTGCACGCCCGGCAAATTTTTTTGTATTTTTGGTAGAGATGGGGTTTCACTATGCCGGCCAGGCTAGTGACTCCTGACTCCTGGCCTCAAGTGATCCACCCCACTTGGCCTCCCAAAGCACTGGGATTATAGACATGAGTCCCACGCTCAACCTATTTATTTTTTTGTTATATTTTTTTGAGATGGAGTCTTGCTTTGTTGCCCAGACTGGAGTGCAGTGGCATAAACTTGGCTCACTGCAACCTCCGCCTCCTGGGTCTAAGCAATTCTGCCTCAACCTCCCAAGAAGCTGGGATTAGAGATGCCCAACACCATACTGGCTAATTTTTGTATTTCTTTTTTTAGTAGAGACAGGGTTTCACCATATTGGCCAGGCTGGTCTCAAACTCCTGACCTCAGGTGATCCACCCACCTCGGCCTCCCAAAGTGCCGGGATTACAGGTGCCTTCCACCATACCCAGCTAATTTTTTTGTATTTTTGTAGAGATAGGTTTCACCATATTGGCCAGGCTGGTCTGGAACTTCTGACCTGAGGTGATCCACCCACCTTGGCCTCCCAAAGTGCTGGGATTACAGACGTGAGCCACTGTGCTGGCCTATTTTTAATTTGAAAGGTGGAGTTTCCCTGCGTTACCCAGGCATTTAGAACTCCTGGGCTCAAGTGATCCTCCTGCCTCTCTGCCTCCCAAAGTGCTGGCATTACAGGCATGAGCCCCAGCGCCCAGCTGTTTCAGCATCTTATGTACCAGGCTCTTTTAGATGCTGGGGATATAATGACAAATAAGCAAGGTCTCTTTTGTCATACATTATAATAGACATAATCAAACAAATACATAGGAAATAATTATTTCAGATAGTGATAATCTAGGTCAGTAAATATAATTGTGACTTGAGGGGGTGGGCAATTTTAAGTGGAGTGTTCAGAGAAGACCTCTAATGATTTGACCTTGGGGTTGAAACCTGTAAGATCTGAATGGTGAGAAGGAACCAGCTATGTAAAGATGAGGGGAGAAAGATAATTCAGATCTTTACTAGTTTGCCGATAGCCAAAGGACATGGCTCTTGGATGTTAGCAGAAATTTAAAACTCCTACCCCCAAAACTGGTACTTCCTATGCAGGGATGAGGCTAACATCCCGAACCCCCTAATTTCCACCCAGCAACAAGTCACTTTACTTAGGCTTACATCATGAACTTTAAGTTTTGGCTTCACAGAGGTCCTTAGCATTGACATTGCTAGTCAGGAAATGAAAAATATTTTAGCTTAAAGTAGCATCTCTTTTTTTTTTTTTGAGACATAGTTTTGCTCTTGTTGCCAAGGCTGGAATGCAATGGCATAATCTCAACTCACTGAAACCTCTCCCTCCAGAGTTGAAGTGGTTCTCCTGCCTCAGCCTCCTGAGTAGCTGGGATTATAGATGCCTGCCACCACACCCAGCTGATTTTTTAATTTTTAGTAGAGACAGGGTTTCATCATATTGTCTAGGCTATTCTCGAACCCCTGTCCTCAGGCGATCCACCTGCCTTGGCCTCCCAAAGTTCTGGGATTACAGGCATGAGCCACCGTACCCAGCTTCTTTTTAATGCAGTATATTTTAGCACAGGCTAGTGATTCTTAGCCAGAGGTAGAAATGGTTTTGTGTCTCAGGCTTTGATAGAAAAAAAACATGAATGGTGGCACGACTAATTTGTTTTTGGGAGGTAGAATACCAAGTACATATGCAGTATTTTGGCATTTTCAGTGCCTCCTTCTTTTCCATTAGAATTAATTACCCAACTCATTTAAGCCATTGGGTAACAGTAGAAATCAAAGTTGGTAAGCTAGGTGGTGCCAGAACACAGAGAGCCTTAAGTGTCAGGTTAAGGAGTTTTGATTTTTCTTCTATATGCAGTAGAGTCACAGTTTTTAGGCAAAGAAAGGTTAATTTGGCCATGATGTGAATTGGAATTGATAAGAGAAATAGAATATAAAGAGACCAGTTAGAAAGCTATTAACCTAGTGCAAAAGTGAAATAGAGTCCAACATTAAGTATTTTTTGAAATATTAAAATTATGTAAGAAGTCTGGGCATAGTAGCGCCCACCTGTAACCCCAGCATTTTGGGAAGCCAAGGTGGGAGGATCACTTAAGCCCAGCAGTTTGAGATCTGGGCAGTATGATAAGACTCCATCTCTACTAAAAATAAATAAATAAACCAGGTGTGGTGGCTCATGCCTGTAATCCCAGCAGTTTGGGAGGCCAAGGTGGGTAGATCATGAAGTCAGGAGTTTGAGATCAGCCTAGCCAACATAGTGAAACCCTATCTCTACTAAAAACACAAAAATTAGCTGGTGCCAGGCGTGGTGGCTGACGCTTGTAATCCCAACACTTTGGGAGGCTTAGGCAAGTGGATCATGAGGTTGGGAGTTTGAGACCAGCCTTATCAACCTGGTGAAACCCTGTCTCTACTAAAAAATACGTAAAAATTAACCAGGCGTGGTGGCATGTGCCTGTAATCCCAGATTACTTGGGAGGCTGAGTCAAGAGAATAGGTTGAACCTGGGAGGCAGAGGTTGCAGTGAGCTGTGATCACACCACTGCACTCCAGCCTGGGCAACGGAGCAAGACTCTATCTCGCAAACAAAAAAAAAATTAGCAAGGCTTAGTGGCAGCCGCCTGTAGTCCCAGCTGCTCAGGAGGCTGAGGCAGGAGAATTGCTTGAACCCAGGTTGCAGTGAGCCAACACTGAACCACTGCACTCCAGCCTAGGTGACAGAGTGAGACTCCATTTCAAAAATAAATAAATAAAATCTTTGTGAGAGATTATATTAGAGCAAATGCTTCTTGAAAGATTTGTGTGATAGTCCTCTCTGTTTTCCAGAAAAGCATCAGATATTTCTCTGGAAGCATCTGTGGCTGAGATGAAGGAGTACATAACAAAGTAAGTGAAAACAAGTGAACCTTTGTTAGAAAATCTAAATTCATTCTCCCATCTGGAGATATTAACTAAACTTGGAAAAAATGAATAATAAGCATTGTACTTGGAGAGTCAGCATTAGTGCACCAATACTAGAAGTTAGAAGGCTGCATATTGAGAATTTTATGGATCTACTATTGGTCAATTTCATAGAATGGAGTCTAGGGAAATACGTATATTAATTTGACTTGAAGATTTCAGGTTTGATATGATTAAATTAATATCCTCTGAATCGGTCAGGCTTTCTAATTCTTTAATGACATTTCAACTCATATTTTATAACCAGATTATACACATAACATACCTATTGTTACCCTAAGTGATTCAGAATAAGATTATAAAAAATAACTGAATTTCTTTTTCCTGATTCTGTAGGTTTTCTTTAGAACGTCAGACTTGGGATAAGCTCTTGCAGCACTACCAGCAGGAGGCTGAAGAGATATTGTCCAGGTTAGTTCTATGAACTGTAAAAACTGTCTTTAAAAACCTATGGAGTTTGATTAGTGTTTATTTCAGTTCTGTTAGCACAAATTGAAAGATGAATCCTTTCTCACAGGTCAATTACCTCATCAAATTCTGTGGTGTGTATTAGCACTCTGACCAAAAATGGGAAGTCAGTGAGAGGAAGAGGAGTTGGTGTCACTATTTTCAGTACAGGAACACAATTGATTCTGTTCTGTGTCCTTAGCACCATTTCATATCCTGGGGGAGACAAGCACATCTCTACCTTGTACCTGGCAGCCTGGGGCTGGGCCAAGAACAGTAATCAAGAGGCTTCAGGGAGCATATGGCCTTTGAGCTGCAGGTTTGGGGGATGCCCTTGGCTAAGGCCTTCTTGGAAAGAAAGACATGAAAGGGGGTGATGGAGGAGGATGTGAGGAAAGAGAGGCTCTTTGAGTCTTGAAGGTAGAGGAAAAGAGGGAAAGTGTTAGGTGATTTTTTTTTTTTTTGAGACAGAGTCTCACTCTGTTGCCAAGGCTAGAGTGCAGTAGCACCGTCTCAGCTCACTACAAACTCCACTTCCTGGGTTCAAGCAATTCTTCTGCCTCAGCCTCCTTAGTAGCTAGGATTACAGGCAGATGCCACCATGCCCAGCTAATTTTTGTATTCTTAGTAGAGATGGGGTTTCACCATGTTGGCCAGGCTGGGCTAGGTGTTTTCTTGTTGCTTTTTGTTTGTTTGTTTTTTTGATCTGTCACCCAGGCTGGAGTGCAGTGATGCAATCTCGGCTCATTGCAACTCCACCTCCTGGATTCAAGCAATTCTCCAGCCTCAGCCTCCTGAGTAGCTGGGATTACAGGCATGCTCCACCATACCTGGCTAATTTTTGTATTTTTAGTAGAGACAGGTTTTTGCCATGTTGGCCAGGCTGGTCATGAACTACAGGCCTCAAGTGATCTGCCCATCTTGGCCTCCCAAAGTGCTGAGATTACTGGCGTAAGTCACTGCACCTGGCCAGAAAATGCTAGATTTTGATTTAGTTGAACATTTAAGCCAGTGATTTTAAGCTTTTTTTTGAAATAGAATCTTTAATTTTTTTTTTTTTTTTTTAAGATGGGGTTTCACCATGTTGGTCAGGCTAGTCTTGAACTCCTGACCTCAGGTGATCCGCCCGCCTTGGCCTCCAAAGTGCTTGGATTACAGGCGTGAGCCACTACACCCGGCCCGAAATAGAATCTTAGCTAGAATCCCAACTATAAAATGTTAGTCAAAACCCTAATTGCGAAAGTGCCCTCTCAGTAGAGGGGGACTTTGAGGAACATGGTTTGGAAAAACTTCCCCAATCCAGGTAATGATGGTTATCAATTACTTTATTCACTTCTTACATATTCTATTTATGAAGATTGATAATGTGTAAGATGCCAGTTTAGGATAAAAACTTTTTTTTTTTTTTTTTGAGACAGAGTTTTGCTCTTGTTACCCAGGCTGGAGTGCAATGGCTCCATCTTGGCTCACCGCAACCTCTGTCTCCTGGGTTCAAGCAATTCTCCTGCCTCAGCCTCCCGAGTAGCTGGGACTACAGGGATGTGCCACTATGCCCGGATAATTTTTGTATTTTTAATAGAGATGGGGTTTCACCATGTTGACCAGGATGGTCTCGATCTCTTGACCTCGTGATCCACCCGCCTCGGCCTCCCAAAGTGCTGGGATTACAGGCATGAGCCACCGCGCCCGGCTGGATAAAAACTTTTGTATCAAAGTTTGTAGGTTAAGAGGAACGGTTCTGGAAGCAGACTTCTCTGTTCAGACTCGAACTAACTTTCCTTAGTTTGTAACCTTGGGCAAGTCACTTAGTCTTGAATGAGTCTGAGGTTCCTCATTTGAAAATGGGGATAATATAAGTACCTTCCTTATTGAGTTACTGTGTGTGTCAAATGAGGTTAAATGGCAAGTGCCCAGCGGTATCTAGTACTCAGTAAATTGTTGTTATCAAAGGGTCATCATCAGTTTTCAGGAGCTCTCAGTCCTGTTCGCTTGTTTTAGATAATTCAGGTAGGCCAACATGTTTTGGTAAACAGTTGTAGGCACTGACTTTAGGATTGCAAGCTTTGGCTTCACTCTCTCCCAAGTATAGTCTTTCTGGTATATGAACCTTACTATTAGGTGGATTGAAATGACTGGAAATTTCCAGCATTTTCTGGAATCTGGAGTTATAAAAACAAATACTAGATAATTGTTTCAGAACTTCTTGTTAAGAAGAGAGCCTGTAACTATGTAGAGTGGAGAAATATTGATTAAACTTTGTAGGGTAATCTTTGGTATCTCTTCCAGAAAATGATTACAGAATTGCTCGAAAGCTCTTTTGTCTTGTTTTTAGAGGATCAACTGAGGCCAAAATTACTGAGGTCAAAGTGGAACCTATGACATATCTTGGGTCTTCTCAGAATGAAGTTCTTAATACAAAGCCTGACTACCAGAAAATATTACAGAACCAGAGCAAAGTCTTTGATTGTATGGAATTGGTGGTAAGTGGGCTCATGTTTATTTGGTTGAGTTATCCAGCTTTGCCACCTTGTAATCCTTGGATATTAAAAGACCTAGAGAATATATATAAGTGTAAGTTGAATAAGTATATTCAACTTTACCTTGGGAAAATATGGAGAGACAATTAAAAAATAATAAGTGAATATATGGTGGTAAATGCTGATGAAGCAGTACAGGGAGGTTGGTAGGTTGCTATTTTATATAGCAAGGTTTTTTTTTTTGAGGCAGAGTCTTGCTCTGTCACTGAAAAAAAAAAGTACAGTGATGCGATCTCAGTTCACTACAACCTCCGACTCCTGGGTTCAAGCGATACTCCCACCTCAGCTTCCAGAGTAGCTGGGACTACAGGCCCCCACCACCACACCCAGCTAATTTTTGTATTTTTAGTAGAGATGGGGTTTCACCATGTTGTCCAGGCTGGTCTCGAACTCCTGACCTTGTGATCTGCCCGCCTCAGCCCCCCAAAGTGCTGGGATTACAGGTGTGAGCCACTGTGCCTGGCCTATAGAAAGGTTATTGAAAGCCTCTCTGAGGTACCATTTTAACAGACTTGAAGGAAATGAGCCATGAGAACATTTGGGGGAATAGTATTGTGTCAATCCAAGTATTAACACCAAGCTGAGGGCATTCGAAAGGGTAATTCAAGGAGAGTTTATTTTCAAAAAGGCTAAATAGGAAGGTATGGGTATTGGAGAACCACAAGGGTTACTGGAGTAACTTGGGGCTTATAGGCAGCAGAGCTCTTTCTTCCCCTAGCCCTGAAAGTAAGGAAGGAGTAGCAGTTACTGTAGCACCTAATGGGAGAAAGTCACATAGTTAGCTGATTTGAGAGAGCCAACTCAAGATAACTCATTCAGCTCCTTCCCACTTAGGCATTCTGTGGATAGAGGTTACATGGGTCAGGCTCCTGGAGCATAGAGCAGTCTGGAGAATAATGCAGTGTGGCTTTGGAGGAACAAACAGAATATCTAGCATAAGCATTCCAGGCTGAAAGAACAGCAAGCCCAAAGCTCCTGAGTAAGAGCTTGCTTCGTGGGTTTGAGGAACATCCAAGAAGCCATGGACACTTCCAGCTTACAGCTGTCTTTTTTCTGCAGGTGGATGAGCTGCAAGGATCAGTGAAACAGCTGCAGGCCTTTATGGATGAAAGTACTCAGTGCTTCCAGAAGGTGTCAGTACAGCTTGGTAAGCTTGTCCCTTGAGGGGACCAGTTTGGGCTATTTTCCATCTGAGAGCCTTTGGGATAAAAACTGCCCTTCAAAGCGTATGGTCCAAGAGGGTAAGACCTTAGGAAATTTCTAGATGGAAATTCTACAGAAGCACAGTAAACTGAGAATTAAATCCCCATGAAATGTTTTGTTGCTTTTGTAAATCCAAGACTTAGGAAATACCCACCCATTGCTTTTTCCCTCTTTATTTCTCAAGAATCCACTAACTGACACTGACGTTACTCCTCTATAGCTTTTCCTGGTCTCTTCCCATCCCTAAATTATTTGCTATGCATATCTTAATTTTCTTTCCTCTTTTCTTTCTTTCTTTCTGCAAAGTCTCACTCTCACTTTGTCATCCAAGTTGGAGTGCAGCGGTGCAATGACTGCACAGCTCACTGCAGCCTCAACCTGGTAGGCTCAAGCAATCCTTTGACCTCGGGCTCGCAGAGTAGCTGAGACTATAATTGTGCACCACCACACCCAGCTGCATTTTAAATTTTTTTGTAGAGATGGGGTCTCCCTGTGTTATCCAGGTTGGTCTTCAACTCTTGGGCTCAGGTGATCCTCCTGCCTTGGCCTCCTAGAGTGCTGGGATTATAAGTGTGAGCCACTACACCTGACCATCTTATTGATCACACTGTATTGTGATGATAGTGGTGGCTGGCTTGCTTTCTTTCTCTCTCTCTCTCTCTTTTTTTCTCTCTTTCTTTATTTCTTTTGTCTCGCTCTGTCGCCCAGGCTAGAGTATGGTGGCATGATCTTGGCTCACTGTAACCTCCGCCTCCTGAGTTCAAGAGATTTTCCCACCTCAGCCTCCCAAGTAGCTGGGATTACAGGCATGTGCCACCATGCCTGGCAATTTTTCTATTTTTAGTAGAGATGGGGTTTCACCACATTGGTCAGGCTGGTCTTGAACTCTAGTCTACAAGTGATTGCCAACTTTGGACTTCCAAAGTGTAGGGATTACAGGCATGAGCCAACCTTTTTTTTTTTTTTGAGATGGGGTTTTGCTCTGTCACCCAGGCTGGAGTACAGGGGTACAGCCATGACTTATTGCAGCCTCAACTTTCTGGGCTCCAAGGTGATCCTCTTGCCTCCCATATAGCTGGAGGATCATGCTAGGACCGTGGTAGGCTAATTTTTAAATTTTTTGTAGAGACGAAGTCTTACTGTGTTGCCCAGGCTAGTCTCAAACTCCTGGACTCAAGTGATCGATCCCCCACCTTGGCCTCCCAGAGTGCTGGGATTACAGGCATGAGCCACCATGCCCAGCTGTGCCTGGCTTTCTTACCAGATTATCATCTCCTTGAGGCCAGAGACTCTTGTTTGTCTTTGTAATGCCTTTCCATGTCTAGCACAGTGTCCATACATTAAGTTTTCAATAAGTGTTATGTTAATTCAATTGAAATTAATTTTTTGACCTCTTTTCTCTGTAGGGAAGAGAAGCATGCAACAATTAGATTCCTCACCAGCTCGAAAACTGCTCAAGCTTCAGCTACAGAACCTACCTGCCACACATGGATCTGGATCTTGTCAGTGACCTTATGAGCTTTTCTGCCACAAGGTGCCCAAGAGGAGAGGAGTGGGAAGAGTGCCCCAGAACGTGGTGACTATGTGATTTCTGCTCTGTTGCCTTTGAAGATAACTGGCAGGACTGACTGTAGAGCACTTTGACTTTTTTCAAAAAGTGACGGAATGTATGCATCCAAATGAACATTGTATAGATGTTTTTCACAGGAATGTGCAAAATGCTTGAACGTTTACACTTGTTTTTTGAAATGATCTTCAGATCCAGTGGCCCATTCTTTTATCCTTATCCTGTGAAGATGTTTTTCAGATTTTGAAACAATCTAAAAGTCATTTAGGACAAAGTCTAAGGAAACATTTTAGTGGCCAAGTTGGATTCTGGTTGTAAAGGAATGATACTAATTTTCTAGTATGGCTCTGAAGGTGATTTTAGGTAGAAGAGTTTTGAGGCTGGGTGCAATGGCTCACATCTGTAATCCTAGCACTTTGGGAGGCTGAGGTGGGTGGATTGCTTGAGCCCAGAAGTTCAAGACCGGTCTGGGAAATAAGGTGAAACCCTATCTCTACAAAAATACAAAAAGCTGGGTGTAGTGACATATGCCTATAGTGCCAGCTACTCAAAAGGCTGAGGTGGGAGGATTACTTGAGCCCAGGAAGTTGAGGCTGCAGTGAGCCCTGATTGCACCACTGCACTCCAGCTTGAGTGACAGAGTTAGACCTTGTCTTTTATTTATTTATTTATTTTGAGATGGAGTTTTGCTATTTTTAATTAGGCTGGAGTGCAATGGTGCAGTCTTGGCTCACTGCAACCTCCGCCTCCTGGGTTCAAGAGATTCTCCTGCCCAGCCTCCCAAGTAGCTGGGATTACAGGCACCTACCACCACGCCAGCTAATTGATCCTGTCTTAAAAAAAAAAATTGTCGGGCGAGGTGGCTCACACCTGTATCCCAGCACTTTGGGAGGCTGAGGCAGGCTGATCACCTGAGGTCAGGAGTTTGAAACCAGACTGACCAACATGGAGAAACCCCGTTTCTACTAAAAATACAAAAATTAGCTGGGCATGGTGGCAGATACCTGTAGTCCCAGCTACTTGGGAGGCTGACGCAGGAGAATTGCTTGAACACATGAGGTGGAGGTTGCAGTGAGCCGAGATTGTATCACTGCATTTCAGCCTGGGTGACAGGGTGAGACTCCATCTCAAAAAAAAATTTTAAATGGTTAAAAAAAAAAGAAAATAAAAAAGTTACGAGCATTATTTGCATCATTGGAATACATATATCACTTCACAAGATGTCCAATTGGAAGGAATATAACTCATTCTCTATGTCCTGTTGTATGTAGTGTGCTTCAGTTTTTAATACTGAGTTGACCTAAATCCTGGATTCATGACAAGAAAGGCCTAAGTACTACTATTCATTGTTCTATTTGTTTATAATCTGTATTGTAAAATTCACATAATTAAAAGCTTTACCTTGTCTTTGTCTATGTTTTGGGTGTATAAACAATTAAAAAGACAAGGAGGCCAGGCATGGTGGCTCACGCCTGTAAGCCATCCCAGCACTTTGGGAGGCCAAAGCAGGTGGATCACTTGAAGTCAGGAGTCTGAGACCAGCCTGGCCAACATGGTGAATCCCTATATCTAATAAAAATATAAAAATTTAGCCATGAATGGGAACATACACCTGTAATCTGAGCTACTTGGGAGGCTGAGGTGGGAGAATCGCTTGAACCCGGAAGGCAGAGCTTGCAGTAAGCCAAGGTAGCACCACTGCACTCTAGCCTAGGCAAAAAAGCGAGACTCCATCTCAAAAAAAAAAAAGACAAGGAGGAAATAGGATTCTTTGCCAAGATGCTGAAGTGAGCAGTAGTGTTGAGATATACTTGTGCATCAATTACCAGTAGAATACCAACTAGGCCATGCACTTTGGAAGGCAGAGGTGAGTGGGTTGCTTGAGCCCAGGAGTTTGAGACCAGCCATGGGCAGCATGGTAAAACCCTATCTGCAGAAAATGCAGATTAGCTGAGAGTGGTGGTGCATACCTATAGTTCAAGCTACTTGGGAGGCTGAGGTGAGAGGATCAATTGAGCCTGAAAGGCCAAGGCTGAAGTAAGACATGATCACACAACTCCAGCCAGGTGAAATCCTGTCTCTACAAAAAATATAAAAAGTTAGCTGGGTGTGGTGATGTGTGCCTGTAGCAACATTCCAGCCTGGGCAACAGAGTGAGACCCTATCTCAAAAAAAAAAAAAAAACCAAAAATGGCACACACACAAAAAACCCACCATCTCATTTATTGCTTATTATGTGTCTTATTCTGGCCAGGTATGGTGGCTCACACCTGTAATGCAGAATTTTGGGAGACCAAGGTGGAAAGATCACTTGAGACTAGGAGTTCAAGATCAGCCTAGGCAAGATGGTGAGACCCCCGTCCCTCCAAAAAAAATTGAAAATTAGCCAGGCTTGATGGTGCATGGCTGTAGTCCTCATGCCTATAGTCCCAGCTACTCAGGAGGCTGAGGGGGGAAGATACCTTGAACTCAGGAGTTCAGGGCTGCCATGAGCTATGATTGTGCCACTGTACTGCAGCCTGGATAACAGCAAGACCCTGTCTCAATAAATAAATCCAGGCAGTAGTGCCATGGCACTCTCATGGCTCACTGGACCCTCAACCTCATGGGCTCAAGCAATTCTCCCACCTCAGCCTCCCAAACAGCTGGTACTACAGGTGTGTACCACCATATTGACTAATTTTTTTTTTTGAGACAGTCTCCCTCTGTCACCCAGGCTGAAGTGTAGTGGCATAATCTCAGCTCACTGCAAACTCCACCTCCCAGGTTTAAGTGATTCCCCTGCCTCAGCTTCTTCCTGAGTAGCTGGGACTACAGGCATGCATCACTCCATGCCCAGCTAATTTTTGTATTTTTACTAGAGATGGGGTTTTACCATGTTGGCCAGGCTGGTCTTGAACTCCTGACTTCAGGTGACCTACCCATCTTGGCCTCCCAAAGTGCTGGGATTACAGGCATGAGCCTCAGTGCCCCGCCTAACTTTTGTACTTTTGTAAGAACAGGATTTCTTCATGTTGCCCAGGCTGGTCTCAAACTGGACGCAAGCTATCCACCTACCTCAGCCTCCCAAAATGCTGACATTGCAAGTGTGAGCCACCATGCTCAGCCAAAATAAAATGTTTCTTATTCTCTGATCCCACTAAAGAGACAAATCCCATTTCAGTTAAACACCCAGTCATAATCTTAAGTCTTAAAGCTTGGCATAAGTGCCAGTTAATGAGAGATGACATCTTGCTTTGACCTACATTTGTTCTTTATTCCTTTATATATTTACCGAGTATCTACATATGCCACACAGTTCTAGGATTGGAGGAGGGGGCAAAGAGCAAAAACATGGGTTCTCCCTCATGATGCTCAGTTTGCTGAAGACACAAGGAACAAGAGAGAACTGCAGAAGAGATATTTTAGCTGACTTGGGAAAGATGAAGGAGTTAAATGGAGCAAGTATTTCAGGCAAAAGGAGAAGCAATTTTCAAAGGCTTGAGAAGGAGAGTGGAGCATTCTGGGACACTAGAAAAAAATAGAGCAGGAGTGCTGGGCACCAGTAGAAGATTGACCTGAGACAAGTATAATTGAAAGTCATTAGAAGCCTTCAAGAAAGGGCAAGAGGATCAGAACTTTATTTTTAAAAGATTAGTGTGGTGCGGGGAAAAGATAGAAGCAAGCAAGGTGTGGGTGTGAGAGACCAGCTAGGTTATTAAAGGAGTCTAGGTGAGAAATGACAGCTTGTGCTGGCTGTTGGCAGTGGATGAACGGGGGGACTGCTTGTGTTGCTCACAGTGTCTGGAACATAAATGTGTAACCTAGGTGTTAAAAACCTAACTCCGGCCAGGCGCAGTGGCTCACGCCTGTAATCCCAGCACTTTGGGAGGCCGAGGCGGGTGGATCACGAGGTCAAGAGATCGAGACCATCCTGGTCAACATGGTGAAACCCCGTCTCTACTAAAAATACAAAAAATTAGCCGGGCATGGTGGTGTGTGCTTGTAATCCCAGCTACTCAGGAGGCTGGGGCAGTAGAATTGCCCGAACCAAGGAGGTGGAGGTTGCGGCCTGGGTAACAAGAGTGAAACTCCATCTCAAAAAAAAAAAAAAAAAACCTAACTCCGCCACTTATTAACTGTGGTTGAGAAAGTTTTTTAATCTCTTATCTCGAAGGTTGGGAGAATGATAGAACCTATATCGGCCGGGCGCGGTGGCTCAAGCCTGTAATCCCAGCACTTTGGGAGGCCGAGGCGGGTGGATCACAAGGTCAAGAGATCGAGACCATCCAGGTCAACGTGGTGAAACCCTGTCTCTACTAAATATATAAGAAAAATTAGCTGGGCACGGTGGCGTGTGCCTGTAATCCCAGCTACTAGGGAGGCTGAGGCAGGAGAATTGCCTGAGCCCAGGAGGCGAGGTTGCGGTGAGCCGAGATCGCGCCATTGCACTCCAGCCTGGGTAACAAGAGCAAAAACTCCGTGTCAAGAAAAAAAAAAAAAAAAAAAAAAAGAACCTATATCGCAGGGATGCTATAAGGATTAAATAATATAAAAGTTTAGTGGTGTCAGTATACTGCAGAGGGTAAAGCTTGAACAATGGGTAGATGACGGAGCAGTTAGAGTCGGAAAGCTAGTTCTATTTGGGATACCAAATGGAAAAATCAACTGCTGTATCAGTATCGCAGGTGGAAAACTGGGTGGAGAAATCTGGACTGGAGATAACATTTGAGAGTTGCTGATGTCTAGTTATTGATGACCTGAGAATGAATGATATAGTCCAGAGTAGAGCAAGAGGGGAAAGTTTGGATGACCTCATGGAAAGCCAACATTTAAGAATCAGAGGAGAGCGGGACACAGTGATTCATGCCTATAATCCCAGAACTTTGGGAGACCTAGGCAGGAGGATTGCTTGAGCCCAAGAGTTCTAGAGCAGCCTGGGGAACATAGTGAGACCCTCGTCTATCGTCATTATCTATCTATATCTCAAGAATCAGAGGAATGCTCTTAACTCCCTACTCTTTCATAAGGAGAGTAGTAAAATGGAGAGAGTTGGAGTGAATTTTCATTTTATCCTCAATTTCCTCATCTGTAAAATGGGGATAGATTATCTTCTAAAGATAATTATACCCTCCCCCATTTCATTTATTACATTGTATTGCATTTTTTGCTTATAAGGATTTGTTCAAACTCAAGAAGTGCGTTTTGTGTCTTCAACAGCAAAACAGGATACAACACAGACAAAAAATACTTACTGAGCTCTAAGCATTTTACATACATATTATTCAGTCTTTGCTACAATCTTCTAACTTCTGTTTCTGCGTGTGTGACTATAGATGAGGAACTCCGGAATGGAGAGGCTTTAATAGTCTAACCAAGGACTTATGGATAGTTAATAGTGGAAGGTGAACTAGAAGTAATTTGAATTCAGTAAATGTTAACATAAGCCAAATAATAAATGGCTGTGGTTAATTAATGTTAGTTTTCCCTCCAACTAAATTTGGTTCAGGAATTGTGCTTGATGAATAACAATATTATTGCTGCCTTCTGAGATGTTTGGTAATTTTTTTTTTTTTTTTTTTTTTTTTTTGAGACGGAGTTTCGCTGTTGTTACCCAGACTGGAGTGCAATGGCATGATCTTGGCTCACTGCAACCTCCGCCCTCTGGGTTCAAGCAATTCTCCTGCCTCAGCCTCCCAATGTTTGGTAATATTTATTTGTTCAATTTGCCTTATTTAAAATAATATACTTTTAGTGGCCGGGTGCGGTGGCTCATGCCTGTAATCCCAGCATTTTGGGATGCTGAAGAGAGCGGATCACTTGAGGTCAGGAGTTTAAGACCAGCTTGGCCAACATGGTGAAAACCCATCAGCACTGAAAAAAAAAAATACAAAAATTACTCAGGCGTCGTGGCATGCCTGTAGTCCCAGCTACACCTGAGTAGGAGGCTGAGTCAGGAGAATCGCTTGAACCCAGGAGGTGGAGGTTGCAGTGAGCCGAGATGGCGCCACAGCACTCCGGTCTGGCCACAGGAGACTCAGTTAAAAAAAAAAAAAAGGCGGGGAGGGGCCAGGCGCAGTGACTTACGCCTGTAATCAGTGATACTTAATACTAAAAAAATAATAAAAATAGGCCAGGCGTGATGGCTCACGCCTGTAATCCAAGCACTTTGGAGGCCAAGGCGGGTGGATCACCTGAGATTGGGAGTTCAAGGCCTGCCTGACCAACATGGTGAAACCCCGTCTTTATAAAAAATAAATAAATAGGCTGGGCGCGGTGGCTCACGCCTATAATCCCAGCACTTTGGGAGGCCGAGGCGGGCAGATCACGAGGTCAAGAGATCGAGACCATCCTGGTCAACAAGGTGAAACCCCGTCTCTACTAAAAATACAAAAATTAGCTGGGCCTGGTGGCGTGCGCCTGTAATCCCAGCTACTCGGGAGGCTGAGGCAGGAGAATTGCCCGAACCCAGGAGGCGGAGGTCGGGGTGAGCCGAGGTCGCGCCATTGTACTCCAGCCTGGGTAACAACAGTGAAACTCCGTCTCAAAAAAATAAAATAAAATAAATAAATAAATAATAATAAACTAGAGGAAGAGAGTGTGTCCTGTATATTTTGGTGTTATTTATTTTTGAGCCGGAGTTTCACTCTTGTTTCCCAGGCTGGAGTGCAATGGCGCGACCTCGGCTCACCGCAACCTCCGCCTCCTGGGTTCGGGCAATTCTCCTGCCTCATCCTCCCGAGTAGCTGGGATTACAGGCGAGCACCACCATGCCCAGCTAATTTTTGTATTTTTAGTAGAGACGGGGTTTCACCCTGTTGACCAGGATGGTCTCGATCTCTTGACCTCGTGATCCGCCCGCCTCGGCCTCCCAAAGTGCTGGGATTATAGGCTTGAGCCACCGCGCCCGGCCCATTTTGATGTTATTTAAATTGTTGGGTTATTTAAGTTTAGTATCTGCAATCATTCTGGGGAAAATAAATTCCATTTCTAATGTTGCAATCAAGAAAGTAGATGACTTGGCTGACAGGGCTGATACAATGGAGGACAGATAATTCGGAGCCCTGAGTCTTGGAGTCTAGTTCTTAAATTACTGTGTTCATTCACCAAAAATGTGTTAAGCTCTTTCAACGTGCCGGCACTGTGCTAGCCCTCCTGTGACCTTGGGTATGGCTCTAGGTCACCTTAAAAGGAGCACGCCATACCCTCCAAGAGCTCTTAGGGGATGCGACCCAGAGAAAGGAGGGAAGCGCTCCCAATACAGCGCTCCATGGCCCTCCCTCCAGCACCTCCAAAATCTAAGATTCTTCTCTGAGGAAACTCCGCAGCAAGAAAAACTACATCAAACATGGCGCCGCCAGCCTCTCCAGGCTCAGCTCCCATCTTCTCGGTAGTTCCAGAGGCGGGCGGGCACACCACGCATGCGCGGCCCAGGCGTCTCCGACACGCCTGCGCAGCCGCATCGCCTCCCCCGCCCCTTTCTCCGCCGCCGCCGCCGCCGCCGCCGCCGCAGCTGCTGCACTGACGGCGGTTGCCCGCGCCTCAGGTGAGTGAGCGCCTTCGCCAGGCCCGCGGGGAACGCGCGGCGTGGCACGCGGGGGCGTCGCTCCTTTGCCCTGCTCCTTCCCTGCATCATCTCCGCCTCCTTCGGGCCCCCGGGGCCCTTTGCCCCGCCCCGCCCGCCGGACCTGGGTCAGCCGGGCTTCCCTCGGCCGCTCCCCGCGCCTAGCCCGCCTGGCACAGCGTGCGGGCATCAAGAGAGCCTCCCTCCGGGCTCAACGCCCTGGGTCACAGGGACGCCCCCCCGCAGGCGCGAGCCCCTCTTTCTCTCTCTCTGGCTCTGCAGGCGGCAGAGCTCGGTGGCCCTCGGGGTTGCTCATCCATCCACCTCGCCCGCCCCAAGAGCCCAGATGCTTGGAAGAGGGGCCGTGAGCACCCCTTGCACCTGTGCGGTCCCAAAGCAGCAGAAGGTATTCTCTAACGGGATCCTACGAAGACCCTGCCGGGGAGAGGCTTCTTAGCCCCACTTAACAGCCGAGGAAACTGAGGCACGGGAAGGTGAAGTGCCGTGCCCAAGGTCAGGCAGCTGACAAGTGGCAGGGTCAGCTCTCTACTCAGGGTCTAGGGCTCTTAGGCCAGTGAGGTTGGAATTTGATCTCGTACCTTTGGAATATTTTTGAAATCACTTGTCATCTAAGTTGCTCTCGAACGTCCTAAAAGTAGGATGCACAGAGAAGATTTTCTTCTCGGAGTACAGTTGAGGTGTTACTGTAATAATAAGTGTTATCAATAGAAGAGCTAACGTTCTGTGTGCCGGGTAAGCGTTTTATTAGGGTAACCTCGCATAACACCTGGGCGTTTCCCAGTTCAAACGTTTCCCCCTTCCTTTTCATGAAGCCCTTTTTCTTTTCTTTTTTTTTTTTCCTGCAGAGCTGGCCTCCCTATCACAGGTAGACTAGGAGCCCCTTGGCTTAGGAGGCAGGGAAGCTCTCCTTTGGTGGTTTACTAACAGAACAAGAGTGAGCCTTTCCTGCCGTCATCCAGATTTCCCCCCATTACCCTGGCCCTCTGGGGATATTATTAGTCTTCCTTTCCTGGCTGCCAAGAGAGCAGGACTGGGCTGACTGGGCTAGCTGGGCGGGCTGGACTTGGAGGTGACAGAGCAGATTTGGCTAGAACTCACCTCCTTCCGGAGCTTTCTGGCTCTGCCCCAAGGTTGGGCTTGAACATTTCAGTATTTAAGATAAAGTAAGAAGAGAGAGAACATTGATAGAGTGGTGCTGAATTTAAGAAGCCTCCCATGATTTAAAGTTCCAAATGAACAACTATAAAAATATGTGAATGTTTCTCCCCCAAAATAACTAGCTCAAACTGTCTTTTTTCTTCCTTAGCAAATCCTCCTCCACATTTCAAACGCTCCACTAAATCATCACCTTCTCTGTGAAGCCTTCCCTGCTTGATTTTCCCAATTAGAATTGCAGGTTCACAAAACAGGGTCTTAGCCTGCGGACTTCTAGCCCCTTGAGGGCATGGGCCATCTTTGCAGCTCCCGGGCTCACAGTAAATCCTTGGTAAGGACTTAGTGAATTTCCACCGCCCCTTTTCATTACTCAAAGGGTGGTGGTCTTCTGCTATCCTTTGTTTTTCCTTCCTGCCCTTCAGGGTCTCTTTGCTTGTCCCTTCCTTTAGATTCAACTTGTCATCACCATTTACCACTCAGAGGCCTCCATCCACCCTGTTGTTTTTGAAAATTTACAGATAAGAGTCTTGCATCAAAAAGCCTGTTTGTGTTACTCAAAGGTGTGCTCATAATTAAGCTGCTTTTGTTTTATTTTTTTTTTGAGATGGAGTTTTGCTCTTGCCCAGGTTGGAGTGCAATGGTGCAGTATTGGCTCACTGCAACCTCTGCCTCCCCGGTTCAAGTGATTCTCCTGCCTCAGCCTCCCAAGTAGCTGGGATTACAGGCACCTGCCACCATGCCTAGCTAATGTTTTGTATTTTTAGTAGAGACTGCATTTCCCCATGTTGGCTGGGCTGGTCTTGAACTCCTGACTCAGGTTGTTATATTGCACTCAGCACAGAAAGTCAACACCAGAACAAAATGATGCTAAATTGCAGGGTTTTATTGCCGGCGACCACGGAGGACTCACGTCTCTCTAACCTGTGGCTGACAAAGAAGAGTGACAAGACCTTTTATACTCACAAAACTACTTTGGGAGTGGGGGTGAGCAGCGGAGATGGGAATGAAAGCTGTCAATCACTTCTTAGGCTGAGAGGAGGGTGAGGGGGCTCCAGACTTTCTAAAGGCCAGGGGACTTTTGTCATTCCAATTGCCACCTAAGTGGTTTACGGAGGTCAAGGTAAACATTAGTTTATACATTATTTGGACAGGTGTGGGGTCCACATAATTTTAGGTTACTTGGAGCTAGGATGGAATTATCTGGGGGTGCTTACTTTGGTAAACAAAGGCTAGCAATTCTGGCAGTTACAGATAAGAGAAAGTATGCAGCTTGTCCTCTCTTTGCATTTTGCAAGGTAATCTTAGTAGTTTACAGAAGCTATGGCTAGTAGTCATTGTGAGGAGAATGGAAACAGTTTTCCCATTTTAAAATGGCATTGTACTGGTTCTAATTCTAGGCCAGCTATATCACAAGGTGATCCACCCACCTTGGCCTCCCAAAGTGCTGGGGTTACAGGGTGATCAAGGAGCCTGGCTGCTTTTGTTTTATTCTAAATTGTTACTTTTGAAGGGGGGAGAATGCCTGTTTATTCCCAAGAGTGGAGTTGGTTTATGCTGTTTCGGTGTGCAGGGCAGTTTTCACTTGTATGTTGCAGTGGGATAGCTTGAAGCTTACACCCCATTACTCTGTCCCTAAATGCATGAGAGATCCATTTTTACATTCTTTTGTCTTCTGTGGCTGACCGTCCCTGGTGGTATCAAAGTAATCACAATTTTTACTGTATATCATTAGATGGTATTTATAATAATAAATATTCAAAAGGGTCCTTTGGGAGGCAGCAGATATGTGCATAGATTCTGTCTAAATAAAGCTTCTTAAAGAGTTTTTCCAAATAATTTTCTGTAAACATATTGACTATGAGTAAGACATGGATGTACGGTGCTGGGTAGTAGTAGATTCGCAGTTGATTGAAACAGGTTCTTGTTGAAAGAGCTTACTAGCTAATTGGGAAACATTGTATCTAACTGCACTAAAATAAAGTCTAAAAATTCCTATATTGTTACAAGCAAAGCAATATTCCACTATAATGGAGTAAGATATTCCTACATGGGATGTTTCATAAAATTGTATGTTTTTTTGTTTGTTTTGAGACGGAGTTTGGCTCTTGTTACCCAGGCTGGAGTGCAATGGCGCGATCTTGGCTCACCGTAACCTCTGCCTCCTGGGTTCAGGCAATTCTCCTGCCTCAGCCTCCTGAGTAGCTGGGATTACAGGCAGGCGCCACCATGCCCGGCTAATTTTTTGTATTTTTAGTAGAGACGGGGTTTCACCATGTTGATCAGGATGGTCTCGATCTCTTGACCTCATGATCCACCCACCTTGGCCTCCCAAAGTGCTGGGATTACAGGCATGTGCCACCGCGCCTGGCCTTCCCATTTCTAATGATAATTTAAGATTAGAAATCAGGCCAGTCTCTGTAGTCCCAGCTACTTGCAGGCTGAGGTGGGAAGATCACTTGAGCCAAGAAGTTTGAGACCACCCTGGACAGTATAGTGAGACTCTTGCTCACTGTATTCTGGAAAGATGACCAGATGATGATTAATTGTCATCTTAAATTACTATATTAAAGATTACCAGGTTAATCATCATCTGGTCATCTTTCCAGAAATAATGTGCTTTCCAAACAGATACAGTTGTTTATTTAAAATGACAGTTTTAGCTGGGCGCGGTGGCTCACGCCTGTAATCCCAGCACTTTGGGAGGCCGAGGTTGGTGGATCACAAGGTCAAGAGATCAAGACCATCCTGGTCAACATGGTGAAACCCCGTCTCTACTAAAAATACAAAAAATTAGCTGGGCATGGTGGCACATGCCTGTAATCCCAGCTACTCGGGAGGCTGAGGCAGAGGTTGCGGTGAGCCAAGATCCCGCCATTGCACTCCAGTCTGGGTAACAAGAGCGAAACTCCGTCTCAAAAAAAAAAAAACAGAGTTTTGGATGACATCTGTTTAGTTGCACACAAGTAATACTATCAGGGAACCAGCACCAGGTGTGAATGTGTTGAGATTTCTACTGTTTTGCATGATAGTGCTCATATATATATATATATATATATATACACACACACACACACACACACATAATTTTTTTTTTTTTTGAGATGGAGTTTTGCTCTTGTTGCTCAGGCTGGAGTGCAATGGCGCGATCTTGGCTCACCACAACCTCTGCTTCCCGGGTTCAAGGGATTCTCCTGCCTCAGCCTCCTGAGTAGCTGGGATTACAGGCTTGCACCACCACACCTGGCTAATTTTGTAATTTTAGTAGAGACAGGGTTTCTCCATGTTGGTCAAGCTGTTCTCGAACTTCTGACCTCAGGTGATCCACCCACCTTGGCCTCTGAAAGTGCTGGGATTATAGGAGTGAGCTACCATGCCCGGCCAGTGATTCTGTATTTTTAAAGCTGAATTTTCTTTCATGGATACAACTTGACTGCTTTTTTTTTTTTGAGATGGAATCTTGCTCTGCCACCCAAGTTGTAGTGCAGTGGCAGGATCTTGGCTCACTGCAGCCTCTGCCTCCTGGGTTCAAGCAATTCTCCTGCTTCAGCCTCCCAAGTAGCTGGGAAGTAGCTGGGATTATAGGTGTGCACCACCATGCCTGGCTAATTTTTGTATTTTTAGTGGAGATGGGGTTTCTCCATGTTGGCCAGGCTTTTCTCGAACTCCTGCTTTGGCCTCCCAAAGTGTTAGGAGAAAGTGTTGCTTTTAAGTCATTGTGTTGGGATGGGTTTAACCAAGGTGTTCACTAAAATATAACTTTGGGTGATTAGTCCGCAGGGTATATTGCATTTCCAATACCTCAGATAGGTACAAGTCTCATATTAAAGTAGTAATGATAATGATACATGTATTTTGTATGGGATTTTTCAACTTTCAGAATTCTTTTTTTATTTGAGACAGAATCTCGCTTTCTTGTCCAAGCTGGAATGCAGTGCCACAGTCTTGGCTCACTGCAACCTCCATCCCCTGAGTTCAAGCAGTTCTCATGCCTCAACCTCCTAAGGAGCTGAAACTACAGGTGACTGTGACCACGCTCAGCTAATTTTTTGTATTTTTAGTGGAGATGGGCTTTCGGCATGTTGACCAGGCTGGTCTCAAACTCCTGACCTCAAGTGATCTGCCCACCTCGGCCCCCCAAAGTGCTGGGATTATAGGCGTAAGCCACCATGACTGGCCAATTTTCAGAATTCTTTTACGGTAACATCCTGGTAAGCGCCAGTAACCCAACCTGAGAAAATACATTAGAAGAATTAATTATCAGATGGCATCAAGTGGGGAAAATTGGTTATAGAAGTCAGGATGCAGATTGCTCAGGTTCAGATCCTTGCTCTGCTGCT